CTGATTCAAGGTTTGTGGAGCAAAAAATAAACGAACAGTAGTCCATTTACTGGCGACACTGGATGAAAACGTTCGCTTGTCCCTTGGCTCATTTTTCCCTTGTGTTCTTTCAAATTAGTTAGTCATGTCTTTCAAATCATCTCAGTTTAGGGAGACCTTGTCATGTTTTTTTTTACCAATATATTTCTTAAGGCCGAGATAATGTGACCTGACCAAGATCATGTAGTGGTCTCCATGGCTGAGTTTGAATTTGAAGCTGGTGTCCCAGAGTCATTGCATGAAATTCAAAGAAATACACAATGACTTTCTAATATTTGCCAGTGTTGTGTAAGAAAGCCTTAAAGATGCATTTGCAGGGTCCATCATCTCTTAATAGTGAATGCCTCCAAAGCACAGGGTCCCATTTTAAAATCAGAAGGGAGTGAAAGAGCCCATGGAGGAGACTCATACTGAGGGAACTGCACTCTTGTTTTTCCAAATGCATATAGTAGCAATAGTAAAGTGGCAAGATTTATTTAGATTCACTTATTATATTTGTGTGCCACTTCTCCTATAGATCTGCAAAACAGCAATAGTAACACGCCAAAGACAAAGCAATTATATATTTACTAAACAACAACAGCACCCCAAAAATGAAACAATTGTGTATTAACTAAACCAGGGAATGATACACATAGACTTATCTTAAAAGGTCATTACAAAGCCTTGGGGTAACTGAAAAAGCTCTTTCTTCTAAAAAGTTGTCAATGATGGAAATAGAAGGGAAAGCGAGAATAAGGAGAGATATGTAGACTCCACACAATGGAGAGCTTTAAGGGTTTTTAAAAATATTTTTAAGCCATTAGCGTAATTTAATTAAAACTCACTGGTGGCCAGCATAATAGCACACAAATCTTCCTTTCTTATAAGTTCGGTGGAAGGCCATGCCTGCAACAGCTGGTATTTTCAAACCATTTTCAAGCCTAGTCCCACAATAAGTTTATTGTAGTAGTCCATGACACCTGTATAACAAGCGAGCTAAAAGTATACCTAGGAAAATGTGCATCTATATAAACCAGGAAAGAATTACCCAACGGATACAGCTGCATGCAGAGTGGCCAACTTTGCATTTAAAATCTAAAGACATCTGTCACACCAAAGCTGACCTAACAGTGAACTTCCAGGGCTCTGGTGCTCAAGATTAGAAATACAAATAAGCCCCTGGATAGGTCTCGTGCATCCAAGAGATAGGACTCTCAGATCTTTTTGAGCTCATTCACTTCAATGGAATGCAGCAACTAACAAAAGATAGTGAAGAGCAAGGAAAGATAAGCATCCACAATCCATTAAATCAAGTATGGTGTTAGATTCTTCAGACTAAGAAATAACAAGAGTGGAAAAAAGGGAACCTATGATTGTGAGAACTGTGAAGATAACATGCCATTGCTCAACATAAGCAATGCTCTTATTAAATCCCTTGTTGAGTGGTATTTCCATATTGAGACATGCCTTCAGTTGCTACCGAAATATATTCAAAGTGTGTACAAGGCAGAAATACAGGGTGCTAATGAATTTTAAAGAACTGCATGAACCATTTATAAAATCATATAAGCGGCTCAGAGTAGCTTTTATCTCAAACAGACTGATCCATGCCTTGGTGATTCTGTCAAATTCTAATGCGGAGTGTATTACTGTGGACATGTATACAGATGTAACAGAATTTACACCTCAGTTACTTACTGAATAGCAAGTGTAATACAGAGACACATCAAGGGGAAATTTTACATATCTGGGAGCATTATACATGCCATCCATCTTCAAGGAAACAGCAATGCTCTGCTATTAAATTTGGGTGCAAAGACTGCCACTTCTCCATGCTGGCTTTTAAAAGAGATAAAAAAGAAAGGGAGAAAAGATAAGCCCTTCCTGTTACAAATACATAAAAGCCAACACAACTCAGTGTGTAACTGAAAAGGCCTAAGAGATAAAATACTTGCCTTGAGCTGCATCTGAAAGAACTGCAGATAAGAGAAACTTGGAGACTGGTTTAGGTCTCTTCCAACAACAAAACGTTTCATGGTACCTTAAAAGATTAATTGATTTATTCTGACATATGTGTTTACAGATTAGAGTTCACCGCATCAGATCGTGAAGTGTTATCCTCAGTTAGTGGACACACACAAAGGTTCAGCAGAAAAAGGAACAGTAAACATTAGGGCAAAAACTGCTGGAATGTACGGAATAAATGTGGTTTTCTGAACAACTCAAATAGGTAGAAAGGACTGCTCCCAAAAGCAGTTGCTGCGAAAATACCATCCTTCTAGCTATGATTTCCCGTCTATAGGGAGAAACAAACCCAAACCAATCTAGGATGAGCTGGATTACATTCACTTTCATACTAAGATCACCTTGGGATAAAGAGAATAAAATACAACAAAAAATAGCCAAATTCAACAAAAATCGAATACATACGGAGAGGATGGGGAATATAGTTGGATACGTAAGCTTATCAGCTATACATGGGAAAGGACCTTGAGATTATTGTTAAACATAATTTGAACATGACCCAGAGGTGTGATGCTGCAGCAAAGAAAGCAAATACTAAGACTGCATTAAGGGAAATAATACTCCTATTGTATTCTGTATTAGTTGGGCTTCATCTGGAGTGCTGTGTTCAGCTCTGGGCGTCTCATTTTAAGAAGGTGATAAACAAGTTGGAGCAGGTTCAGACAAGGGCAGCAAGGATGATAACAGGCACTCTGAACAAAACATATGTGGAAAGGTTGAGATAGTTGAAGAGAAGACTAAGGGTTGGTAGACACGATTGCATTCTTTAAATAGCTCAATGGCTGCCACAGAAAGGATGCAGGTTTGTTCTCTTCTGCACCAGGCCTAATGGTTTAAAGTTACAGGAGGGTAGATTCCAACTGAACTTTAGAGGGTACGGCAGTGATGGGCCAATGAAAGAGGTGATGGAATCTCTTTCTTTGGATGTCTTTAGAAAAAGACCTGCAGGGGATGTTTTAGCTCAAGTTCTTCCATCAAGCAAAGGTTGGACATTATAGCTTAAGAGGTCCTGTTCATTTCTATGGTTCTATGATTCTATAAATGTGAATTTGATAAATTACAAGTAGAAGCTTTTTGGGAAAGAACTGAGAAATGTTTAAGTCAGCTAAAGATATTGACCAAACAACAACAACAACAACAACAACAACAATGACTTTATTCTTATACCCCATCCCCCAAAGGGACTCCGGGCGGCTTACGTATGGGACAGAATGTCCACAAAACATACAAGCAAAAACAATCCATAAAACAAAACATATTAAAATAAAAACATCATAAAAAACAACAACCCAGATAAAAACAAGCTAGAACATGAAAGTATAAAACTAATTGCCATGGAGCTCCATCAGGAAGTGACCAGGATTATTTATTTATTTATTATTTGAACTATTTATTTATCGTGTCATCAGCAATGCCGCTACTCCCCTGGGGCTCGGAGCAGCTTACAAGAACGGCTAAAATCTAACACAATTTAAAAACAATTTAAAACAATTTAAAAGCAGCAATATCAAAAATCAGAGGCCTGTCAAAACAGATATGTCTTACAAGCCCTGCGTCCAAGCTAAGAAGGGCTGGCAAGGGATAGTGCAAACAGTGTACCACGGGGCCGGGGAAGTGGATGAAGTGCAAAACAAAGTGCTATCTGGCAACCTAGGGACTGGGCATTTATAAATAGGGACTAGTCATTCTCGAATGCTTGTTGGAACATCCAAGTTTTCAAATCCCTGAGAAAAGAGGACAATGTGGGGGGCTTGCTTAATCTCCCTGGGGAGAGTGTTTCAAAGTCGGGGGACCACCACCAAGAAGGTCCACTCCCTCGTCCCCACTAGTCGTGCTTGTGATAGTGGTGGAAGTGAGAGGAGGATCTCCTTGGAAGATCTTGATGCTCATGCCGGTTCATAGGGGGAGATGAGATCACAAAGAAAGGCCCAAACCATTTAGGGCTTTGTAGGTCATAACCTGAACCTTGAATTGGGACCGGAAACTTATTGGCAGCCAGTGGAGTAAAGGAAACATACACGCACAAACATATTTATATCTATATCTCTGTATCTCTGTATCTCTCTGTCTGTCTGTCTATCTATCTATCTATCTATCTATCTATCTATCTATCTATCTATCTATCCATCCATCCATCCATCCATCCATCCATCCATCCTGTTCAGGATATATGGATCCTGTTCTGAAAAGGGAAATGAATAGCAAGGGAGAAGTTCTTGGAGGACAGGGTTACACTATGGCCCAGAGGGTTCAACCAGACCATTGGACAGGCAGGTGCCTATCTTTGGGCTTAGGTAAAAAAACAAGGGGAGACCACTTTTATCAAGGGGAAATATTATGTGTCAGCATGGACATGGTATTATTATAGAAGCCATTCCAGCATTATTATTTTTTCTTAGGGCTATCTTATTATTAAAATAATGCAACTATGCTTGATAGACTGCAAAAAGAAAACCTTCCTGGACTGTTTCACAGGGAGACTTTACACGCTTCACAACATCTCTTTTTAATGAGACCATTCAATGAGAGATGCTCCAAAGTTCATTCTCCATCATGTTCCTATGGTGTGTCTGATTTTTGATAGGGGGTTTTATTGTGCAATGGCATGAAAAGGTTTAACTATTTTCTGACTAGTAAATGCCTTCTTAATATACAAAAATACAAATAGGCTTCTTGGAGAGGCAAACTGGCCTGAGGGCAGTAATCGGACCTCATGATGAATGCCCCTTCACCCTCCCGGCTTAATCACTCAGAGATATCACTGTGGAGGGCTTGATTTTGTAACAGAGCTCTCCACCAATCGACAGGCACAGCCACAGCTTAAAGGATTATGTTGTGTATGGATGTGTTGGGGGAGGTCACGTGAATAAACGGAACAGCGGTGCCACTAACAACAGGGATGCAGCGGAGTCAGCATTCTTCCTCTAAGCTCTGCTATTGTTTACCCTTCGCAGAAATGAGACACCAGCGCTTGGGCTGAACTTGCACAGAAAAAGTTCCCATTGGAGGAGCACAATGTAGTTTTGCCTGCAATGAAGACCTGCATGGACTGAGGCCGGGCACCAGGTGAGTGAGCCCGCAGGCTCGCTTTATACAGCTTGCTCTTTTGAACAGAAATAAAAATGTGTTCTGTGCAATGGCATTCATTCTGTAATGCACGCAGGCAGCTAGTGAACAGCGCCATCAGATTTCGGCATCAGAGTGCAGCATGCAATTGTTATGTTATTCGCAATTAAAAGCAATGATATGAAAACATTGTTATGTTACATTTTCCAACTAGAATGAGGGAAGTATGTATGCATAACACCAATCTCAATTCTAATTAGATCTTCCTTAATTTTATATTAAGCAATCTTTACGTTAAAATAAATTTGGAAAGCAACTCAATGTACACTCCAAAATAGACCAGTTAACATTCATTTGGTATTTTCTTTTCACTCCCAAAACATGAAGTTTTGCAAACAGAGAAGTTTGAGGAAGATATATACCCAAAATATAACAAAATGTGGTGAAAGAGCTACTACATGTTTCACATCTCTACAAGTATGTTTTATTTTTTATATGTAATATTAAATATACAGTATTAGGATCAGCAACTAAACCTCTTAACCAACCATCTGGTTTCTTTTTAATTAAACTGAAGAGAAGAAAATAATAAAAACATAGACTTCATTATATTGTAACAGACACGCAGGACTTTAATGCCAACACTGATTTTTAAAAAAACATGAATCATATTTTGCAATATTATATGTATTCATTATATATACAGACATAAAGCATTCTCATAAGTCTGGTGTCTCCATGTCGACTACAGAATTAAGCAAGACCAAAATGAAACGCTGTATGAGCTTAGAACAAGGAGTCTTGCAGTACCTCAAAGATTAACAGATTAATCCATTGGAATATAGTCCATCAAAGTGTATAAGTTTGCACTTTCCAGGGAGATAATATCCTGGACTCAGGACAATAACATTTGATAAGGGCTGCTTCTCTCTTCAGGGAACACTCCAGGAAATGTAGCCAGAAGCAGTTTCTTGCAAAGGTATGCTCATGTATAGGAGATGTTTTGAAACTTGTAGCCAACACAGTCATATATATTCCTATAAGGACCAGAAGTCAAAATTGCCACAGAAAAAAGACACAATTAAATCCCAAATAAAGTTAGATTTTAATGTCTTTGAAAATTTGGCATACGCTGGACATTAAGCAAATAAATTAATTAATTAATTAAACACTCTTCAAACCAACACAATAGCAACCTAGACAATGAAAGAGAGAATAACTATTATCGAATGGAAAAATTGTATCAATGCAATTAATTATTCCCATTTCAAGCACCTGTCCCTCAAAGTGGCGCAGTGATATGTTAGGCTTCCCAAATGTATCATTTTCATAGAAACTGAACAAAGTTATTGTTTGAAAAAAAATGATTTTTTAAAAATTGTTTACATTGGGCTAATGAATATATTTAAGAAACAAGGTGCAGGAGAATTAAGGAAGTTACTTATAAGTAAACTCTTTCTATCAAATAGAAGTACATTGCACCAGAGATTAAGTAAAAAGGTGTTTGGTTTATGTGTGAATTAGCAAATGTTCTTGCAATCTCAAACACAGGATAATAAAATAATAAATAAAACTTTATTTGTACCCCGCTACCATCTCCCCAAGGGACTTGGTGGGCTTACATGAGGCCAAGCCTCTGCACATGAATATAGGGAGAAATGTTCAGCTTCAAGGCATTCCTGACAGCATTTACATATTGGCAGTCCCAGAATTCTGGGCCCAGAGAATCAGAGTTTCTTTCCCAACAGGAATCTGCTGTGCATTCAGCACAATGCGCTGCTCATAAGTCACTAGGTGGGCTTTCACTTGTTTTACTGAGAGGAAGTAGTGTGGCATAATGGTTTCCTGGAGAAGCACCATCTGTGCCTCCTGTCAGTCTGCTCCAACTGGCAGGAGAATATCTATGGAGAATGGTCTCCCGATGCCAAGTTCCATTCCTCTCCCCTGAACAAAGCCTAAGCTCTGGTGATTTCAACAAATGGAGTTCAGGAGCAGAGAATGAACTGTTGTTTCTGCGGTGCCAAATTCATTGAGACAGATTTAGTTCTGAAACAGCAGCCAAGCTTCAATAAAATCAACAGTGCTGCAGTTTCCCACACTGGAGCTAAATCTGAACTGCTGTATCTAAGCATTTTTCGACTGGCGAATGTTGGAGAGGGAAACCTGAATAAACTGCATGAATTGCTTTAAAAAGTAAATGTTTTTTCATGGTCCAAAAGACAGTCTATAACCCATGCTCAGGATACCAACACAGTATAATTTACAAGTCAGGGACTACCTCTATAAATGCACATTTCCAACTGAGCCTTCTTTTCTTCTCCAGAGCAATTTCTATACTAACTCACACACCCATAGATCCATGCACACATCATGCAGATTTGTTGCTGACAGAAGAGAGCTATGGCTTTGATCAGATTGCTTTCTGGGTTTCCAGTTCATTCTATTCACTTGCTATTTCCTGAAAAGTTTGCTATTGATTTTGCTAGACTCCCATCAATCTTTTATCCTTATTAAAGCATTACAGGAAGGCAGAAAAACATTTCCTAGTTCAATGGAAGATCAAAAGCATTCCTAATTTCTATCTGCCAGGATCTCTGAAATGTGTGAGACAGTTTCAACTGAACATTGCATATTCATTTATTTTGCAGAGCATATATATTCAGACAGTACATGTCAACACATAATTACATGCCAATGTAAAACCTCTACCCCATTAATTGCTAAAGGCTGGTGAAATGGAACCAGTCCGGAACCAGTACATCCACTAATCGCAAACTGGATGGCCAGAATCCAAGATATTACCCAAGGACTTGGATGTGATCCATGAGATTTTCCTTGCTGACTCTAAACAGCAGAATTCTAAGCTAAATCAACAATTTTAGAATCACAATATTAACCATGATGCTTTGTTGACAGAGCTTGCCAGTCAACCCACTCATTGACCAAGCTTCTCTGGGCAAATGAATCTGGTCTGGCCACTGAAAAGAGAAAGGCAATAAAGGCTGGCTCTTTTCAAATGTGTTCAACTATAATTCATATCAACCCCAGTCAGCACGATAGGGGAAAAGGCACAACGACAACAGAGAAAACATGAAATAAAGGGCAAAAACTATGCATTGGAATTACAGAGCAAATCTTTATAACAGTGGACCACTTTGACCAGGGACCACTCTCCAACATTAGTACCAAAAGGGTTACGAATCAGTTTTTGGTCAACTTTAGATTTGGTTTGGTTATTCAGAAAATTGCATGGGATAGACCACATCAGCTCTAGTTTCTGATACAGAACATATGCCACGGTCAGCAACAGGGAAGGAATGGCAGGTGGCACAAACGGAGCGGAAATAAAATAAAATAAAAAATAAATAAAAAGGAAGGAGGTTTGCTGGCCAAATTTTCGTCCTCATGGCCCACTGTTTCATACCAACATTCCCACCCACTACTTCTAGGTCTCAAAATCATTCTTATCCAAGGCTCCCCCACCTTGAACCATGGTGAATAAGTAAAAGAGAGAAAGAGGGCATTTTGGCCCATCTTTCAAAAACCACATAATGTATTTGAAAGTAATACCTTCATTATATGATAGCGAAGGCCCAACAGGATGCAGTGATGCTCCCACTAGTCAAACTGGTAATGGGCGCCACCACACAATCTTAAATGACAGGTTTGGGAGAAGGGTTGCAAGTTATTCATGCCAACACCCTTGACCAAGCAGGATTTTCTTCTACACTAACTCAAGAGCTATTTTATCTCAGTTCAATCAAATACCTGGGTTATAAATAATGGTGACTCAGTCAGGCACAGGTGAAAGATTATCCTTTTGCTCAATCTGCCCTCCCCACTAATAATGCCTTAAACAACGTCATGCAGTTTGATATGTTATGGGAGGAGCCCAAAACATTACCCGAGTCTTAGTTATTGGCTTTTGAAACAATGCACACCGCTTGTTGATCTCTTGAATTTCACATTCTGTCTAGGCTATACTAGATTGGAATCTTGTTCTCTGATGAATTTTTTGTACTATAGAAGTGCCCACAATCAGTCAAGCACAAGACTAATTCTCAAGATGACGTACAAATGCTAAACTATCCCTGTAATATTCGGCATTACATTGCTGAGTCCTGGCTTTGAGACCTCAACAGAAATCTAACTCTTACAATGCAAAGGTTCAAAAAATTCATTCGTATGGTCCACTAAGTGCAAGTGGATCAAATATGTTTGCAACAGAGGAACATCTTAATCATCATCATCATAGGCTATCACTCGTGGCCAAGTATGATTGTCTTCCAAGAGTAGAGTCTTGGCAGTGGGTCCATAAGTGACTGTAAAGACCTATTCTGGATCCGCATGGCCTGTCACAATGAGAACATAGATTTCCAGATGGAAGGTGGGTCCAAAAAGGTTTGCTTGAGGCACTTTCTTCCTCTTGGCACATTTCTCCCTTCCGTCCTCTATTAAGAGCTCTTCAAAATCCATAGCACCTTTGATAACAGCTGACCTCTAGTTGGAGCGCTTGAGGGGCAGGGGTTCCTAATTCTTGGTGTTTATTGAATATATATTTTAGGTTAGCTTTAGGTTACATCACCATCTCCCAAAGCAGTTGCTCTACTCTCATCTCAAGAACAGCGAACAGAATGTTGGTAGGCAGCAAAAGAGATTTTTAAATGAGCTTAAAGTTAACCTTTGAAAATGTGGCATAAACACTGAGAACTGGGAATCATGGAATCATAGAATCAAAGAGTTGGAAGAGACCTCATGGGCCATCCAGTCCAACCCCCTGCCAAGAAGCAGGAATATTGCATTCAAAGCACCCCTGACAGATGGCCATCCAGCCTCTGTTTAAAAGCTTCCAAAGAAGGAGCCTCCACCACACTCCGGGGCAGAGAGTTCCACTGCTGAACGGCTCTCACAGTCAGGAAGTTCTTCCTAATGTGCAGATGGAATCTCCTCTCTTGTAGTTTGAAGCCATTGTTCCGCGTCCTAGTCTCCAGGGAAGCAGAAAACAAGCTTGCTGCCTCCTCCCTGTGACTTCCTCTCACATATTTATACATGGCTATCATATCTCCTCTCAGCCTTCTCTTCTTCAGGCTAAACATGCCCAGCTCCTTAAGCCGTTCCTCATAGGGCTTGTTCTCCAGACCCTTGATCATTTGAGTCGCCCTCCTCTGGACACATTCCAGCTTGTCAATATCTCTCTTGAATTGTGGTGCCCAGAATTGGACACAATATTCCAGGTGTGGTCTAACCAAAGCAGAATAGAGGGGTAGCATTACTTCCCTAGATCTAGACACTATGCTCCTATTGGATGCAGGCCAAAATCCCATTGGCTTTTTTGCCGCCACATCACATTGTTGGCTCATGTTTAACTTGTCCATGAGGACCCAAGATATTTTCATATGTACTGCTCTCGAAAGACCTGGCTTTTGAGCATTCTCACTAGAGAGTTATCTTAATGCACATTAGCTCAATTTTAAAAAATAAAGGACACTGAATCTTACAATTCCATTTCACTTAATATTGTAATTGGTGTTAAGGCATGGGTGGGTGCTGTGGCCCCCTCCAGATGTTGCCAAGCTGTAATTTGCTGCACAGACAATAGCAAGGGATGCTGGGAAGGCTGCAAATCCCAGTATAAACAACATTCACAACATACACGTGAGACTATTTGTGATGCAGATGAGTGAAGCAGCCTATCACAGTGGTGACGAACCTATGACACACACGAGCTGTTCAGCAGTGGGACTCTCTGCCCTGGAGTGTGGTGGAGGCTCCTTCTTTGGAAGCTTTTAAACAGAGGCTGGATGGCCATCTGTCAGGGGTGCTTTGAATGCAATATTCCTGCTTCTAGGCAGGGGGTTGGACTGGATGGCCCATGAGGTCTCTTCCAACTCTATGATTCTATGATTCTATGCCAGAAGGGACGCACAGTGCCCTCTCTCCTGGCACACATGCCTCAGTGTCGCAACCCCCGCCTCAGTCCACTCACCTGCCTGCCCCCTCACTAGTCCCCCCCCTCCTGTTCGCCATCCCCTGAGTGCCCCACCCTGCCCCACTCAGTTTGGGACTCAGTCTCTAAAAGGTTCACTGCCATCACCGGCCTATCAAATAGCATGGTAGTCCACTGCCAAAAGAATTAGTCAAATATTGCATTTTTAGCTAGTGCAAGATTCGGCAGGGAAGGTGGGAGGCGGGAGACATGTTTCTGGAAGGAATGGCTTTTGCCTCACCACAAGGCAAAGAGAGCTGGTCAGGGCCAATAATATCTTAAAAGCAGGAAAGTAATTTCCGTAAGTGCCACTGAGACAAGATAGGATTGTTGAAGGAACAAAGTAGTAAGTGCTTTCAGTGGCTACGATTTAAGGCAGCTATCTCTGACCATCAATTTTGGACATCGGGGTAAATAATCGTTTACTCCTCTGACCAAATACCAGATTTGGTTGTGGAGATACATAACTCTAGTTTGCCATACTTCCAAGACAAAAATGTCCAAAGTTTGTGCAGACATAAGCTGTGCTACTAAAAACAGCTGTTCTTTCCCCCCCTCCCCAAGAGAGTCCAAATATGTATGATAACCCCGGTGTGCTATATTGAATAAATTAAACATGCTACATGAATAAAGAGAACTACATGACCTCTCCCTATCAACCGATATACTGACAAATTGGACTTGTTTAGTTTTTTCTAGCATAACTCCTTAGAATCATAGAATCAAAGAATTGGAAGAAACCTCCTGGGCCATCCAGTCCAATCCCCTGCCAAGAAGCAGAAATGTTGCATTCAAATCACCCCTGACAGATGGCCATCCAGCCTCTGTTTAAAAGCTTCCAAAGAAGCTTTTACTATTGTTCCCATTAGCACCAGTCAGTGTGGCCAAAGGTAAGGGATGATGGACGTCCAAATATAAAGCCTTTGGAGGACATCAAATTAGAGATGGCTGAAATAAAGAAGTTGTCAAATGAATCATTAAAATCACCTCCTTTCCAAAATCTATCTGCATGTATTGCCAAACAGCTTCTCTGTGTTCATTTTTTACTTTTAATTTCCAAGGAAATCTGATTAAGCCCCTGTATAATTTGTTCTCTATCACAGGAAAGTTATGTTGCCCGGAAACACAAACCTGAGTTTCCGAATAACAGCTTCTTGTAAGACATTCCATATCCTCAAAGGAACCTGCCAGCTGATGGCAAAGACTTGCGGTAAACTAGCCTGAAGAATACTGACAACAAAAAAGTGTAACCCAACACCAAATCAGAGTATTCCAGGAACATGTCCCTTTCCGCCAATCAATCGGAAGCAGCCTAAGACTCGGTGGAGTGTAATGTCAGGAACCACACCCCTTTGAGATCAGCCTCCCATTTCTTGAAATTGTCTGTAAACAGAGAAAGGGAGGAGTTAGGCACGTCTTGCCAAGAGAAGCAGTAACTTTGTGAGTAATTTACTAGTGGAAAAACAAGTGCAGAGCACAGGGAGGCAAAGAGAGCGCTGGGCTGAGCAGATCCCTTGCAATCACAGAGGCTCCCCATGGATTCAAAGGAGGAAAATGCAGCACATTTCAGCATGCTTTCTTCAAATAAAACATTATCTACTGGGCACTCTTGGACTTTGGAGTACAATGGAGCATGCTGCACGAACTGAAGGTAGGCGTTTAAGAGGTTTGGGGAGCAGTTGGTGAGTTTGAGGCACAGGACGGGGGAGCTGAGAGAAATAAGAAACCACTGTCAATACAAAAGTAAATGATCTGCCAGCAGAAAGCTTCACAAAATGAAATCCAGAGATGTAGGGTTTTTTCCATGTCAAGTTTAGTTTTGGAGAAAACACTTGCAGCACGTGTGCATGTGTACAAAGAGAGATTACCTGCTCCAAGGCATATTACTGTACTGTATTGCTCCTGCATTTAGTACAACCATGCTTAAAGTACTGCAAGAACTCAGTTTTTAAATCTGAACAAGAAACACCATGAGATATGATGATGGGTGGGTATTTAGCTAACAGATGCTTAAATCTTGCTGTCAGGAGGAGGCAGGTGAAGAATCTCAACTCTTTCCTTAAAGAATTCTTACCATGTACTTTCTTACGTAACAGAATGGAGAAAGGATGGTTTTGCTCACACACAAAAACCCTCATTTTTGCAACACAACTTTTCAAACCTGTGAAACTCACTACTTCTTAAGAAAATACCTGGGATTTAGTGATATTATATACATGCTTTAGGGTTTAGTTTGGCAGTGTATAAAACTGACAAACACATGGAATTCCACTTTCACTGTATAGAAAAAGAAATCTTACAAAAACTATTGCTGCAACACTAATAGAACCTCCTCAGCATCTTCAATATACAACTGGAAAAAGACCTATTTTTGCTTGAGACCTTGGTGAGAGCAAAGAAACCTGGATTAGATGGAACCGTAATTCCACTTTTAGATATGTGTGTGTGTGTGTGTGTGTGTGTATGTATAGGAAATTTTGTTTTAGTAACTTTACTAAAAAATTGCACACTGCTCTAGATTTTTAAGATAAGCCTAAAGTTGTTCAATGCTCATACAGTAACTTATGCAAATCCCATAACTTAATAAAAGAGGAAATTACTATAAACAAAAATAACACACCTTTAAATCAAGCTTTGATCAAAGCAATTGTAGAAATGTTCATTTGGTGGCTCCTGTGTGGGAAAGCATCTTATATGAAGAGAAAGAAGTTTGTTTGTATATAAGTCTGATAAAAATGGAACTGGTTTGATTCTTGAAATGGAAATGTGGTGTGTAATTATAAATGCAACAAGAGCACATGTGCATTTTTAAAGCAGTATTATGTTGATCTAGGGACAGGTTTTCCAGCTCTACACCAACGCAAGTACTTTGACACCTTAGCTATTTCTGTGCAGTTGAGAGGCAACTCAGCTAATCTGTATTTACAAATCTCAATCTACTTAAAATCATGAGGTTCCTTCATTCCAACCTGCTGAGTAATAAAAAACTGATTTCAGTTGTTAATTGTTGCTACTAGGCTCATTTTGCTTTCTTGTAAAGAAGACCAAAAAGCACATGTCTCACATACAGGTAGACCCTGTTTGTATGTTGAACACAATATGTCTTCCTCCTACAGAGTGCAGTGAAGGAGGTAAAAGTGTTTAGTGCAAAATATATACAAATGCTCTCATGTTGCTTAAAGTTTTCTTTCAACTACAGAAGATGTTGGATTTGAAACAGCAGGGGATGTGTTAAAAAGGGGGACATTTAGATGCCCTGGGAGAAACCATGATGGAGAACTCAATGCATCCATAAAGGAACAGAGTGCAAAAGGCTTCAGTATAAAGAATTGGAGGGCACCTGGCACACTGGAGTCTTATATACATCATTAATAAGATGACATTGGGCAACTTTAAATATTTTAAGTGTAAATTCTTAAGTAATGGTTAAAGCTAGGAAAAAGAATCGCATGAAAATAGATACCCATGAAAAATTGCAATAACTGTATTACAGCTATTTTATTTATTCAATGCTTCCACATAGCAAACAAACCTTAGCTATTGCTTAGTCACCACAAAGCACTGCACAGAACCTGCCTTAGACTTATTTCTAAGTATATATAGTATAACAATATATTCCACTTAATATTCAAATTATAAAATGATGTTCTACTATATTGTTTCAAACTTCTTTATTACTTCACATATATGGTTGAAACAGAGAGATGGGTGGGCATTTAATTTGTTTTTGTTTAAATAAGCATATTTATTTACTTTCTTTTTCTCCATTTAGAAAAGCTGGTAACCAGCAAACCTCTCCACACATTTTAATTTCACTATGTGGAGCTGTGATGCTTTCAATGGTACCAAAACCACAGAGGACCAGCATCTCTGCCATGACTTCCACCTCGTGCTTTCCATCTTTTCATTGCTCTACCTCATCATCTGTTTCCCCATTGGCCTTTGCTACAATGCCCTGCTGGTCTTGGTCAACCTCTACAACAAAGCAACGATGACCATGCCAGATGTTTACTTTGTCAATATAGCCATTGCTGGCCTCATCATCAGCGCCATTGCGCCCATGTACCTTCTGGGACCTGCCAGTACCAAATGGGCCATCTGGAGTTTCAATAATGAAGTCTACATCACCTTGCTGATTTTATTCAATGTGTCATCTTTGGTGATAATGTACTCTACCACCCTACTCAGTTTGGACTACTACATTGAGCGTGCGCTGCCAAGAACGTACATGTCAAGTGTGTACAACACCAAGCACGTGTGTGGATTCATATGGGGAGGAGCCATGCTGACAAGTTTCTCATCTCTCCTCTTTTACGTCTGCAATCATGTATCCACTAAAATAATTGAATGCTCCAAGATGCAGAACAAAGAAGCGGCAGACGCCATCATGGTTTTTATTGGGTACATCGTTCCCGCCATTGCAGTGTTGTACGCACTTGTGTTGATTCTGCGAATACGCAAGGAGGCGACGCCACTGGACCAAGACACTGGAAGATTGGATCCGTCAGTGCACCGGCTTTTGATTGCCACCGTGTGCACACAGTTCACTTTATGGACGCCCTATTACATCACACTTCTAGTAAATACTTTAACAAGCATGCAAGGAAAAGTTATGGACGAAAACTACGTCCGAGCATTACATTTTACCAAGGGAGTGTCAAAATTCCTGGCTTTTTCTAGCAGCTTTGTCATGCCCCTCCTCTACCGATACATCAACAAAAACTTTCCAAACAAATTGCGAAGGCTGCTTAAGAAACTGCATTGTGGGAACCAAGGGTGCTCTCATGAACGCACAGTCGTTCAACAAGTCATAACGTAGGAATGAATGGATGCTGTGTGCCAAGCTTATTCTCCAAGACACTCTTGTGTGGAGGCCACTTTGCCAGGATATTGGAAAAAAGAGACAGTTTTAATACACACAGGTAGTAAAGATGTGTGGAAAACTCTACTGAGAATCTGTCTGTGGGTTAAAACTGTTTTGATTTGTGAGATTTTCAATGCACTGATTCAGTCACACAGTATAAGCGTTGTTCTGATAATCCTGTCTGGAGAAAATCACTAGAGGGCCCACTGAAGGCTTTGACTGAACATTTAGCACTTTGTAATCCTGTAGAGTTAAAAAAAGAGGTATTTTTATATAAAATAATATGATTTTTAATTTTACGAAGTAGTTTTAATTCAAGGTGAGGACAGCACCTTTTTAGTTAAGATCATCTCATACTGGTTAAATCGTGTAAGGATCTAAACAATGAAGTACCAAGGGTAAATTTACTTTAATATTTAATTACATCTTCTCCATAATTTTGCAATACTTTGATTTAAAAGAAACAATTATTTGAATTCTAAAATTGTTTGCAGATTTAGTTTTGTTTTAATGTATTCATATTTTTCTACATTTAACAATGAACCAAAAAAGTCCCAATTTATCTGCTATTCATACTTGGCATTACAAAACATTTCAGTCAGTCATAAGTAGCCACTTTGAAAGGAAAAACTTCCTTTACATATTAAAATGAAGGAATGCGCCGATAAGTTTTAAGGTGAATATTAGCAACCACAGAGTTAAAAGTATCTTTATTGCTGTTATGGTCCAGAAATATTCATGCAGATATACTGCATTCTTTTAATGATTGAATAAATATGCTTGCAGTTTTCAAGGTATTATTACCTTTGTAGTGGGAAAGAGATAACTTCAAATGTTTTCAAAAAATTGTAATATGTGGTCTAGGCCTTGACTTATAGGAAAGATGGCAAAGACACAACTACAGGGGAGTTTCTTATAAACCTGTGAAACCGTTTCATGTAGACCTATAGTTTCTGAAACACAATAAGAGGAAGTGCCTGAAGACTCTACTAGCTCTTGGGTTTTGTGCTGCTATAGATCAGGCTTTTTGCCTCCCTGTATGATGCCAATTATTTCCAATCTTTCTATATCAGATATAGCAAACCAGTCTTGACCAGCCTAGGCTAGAATCCAAGAATCCATGAACAGTGCTCCACATACGTATGTACTCATTTTAGTCTCATGGTTGTCTCTTTAAAATGTTTACTGGTATGCCCTGCAGAAAGAATGGAGAAATCAGTCAACTGACCTGAAAATGTGAGCATGCAGAAATAATGCCTCAGATACATTCATAAGGCAACCACCAGTAAACATCTCTAGCACAGAGACAGTCTGCTGACTGTGCCACAAGCATACAGAACGCAGGAGAATTCAGGAACCAAAATTGGTTCCTCAGGCAAATAGATACTTTCTCGACTTTCTGTGATTTCACCTGAGGCACAGGTCAAGCATCCCTTACTCAGAATTCAAAACTATACACATGGATGGCAGAGATAGTGACATATCTTTGCTTCCTGGTGGTTCAGTGTTAGCAAACTGTGTTTCATACCCACAATTATTTATTTAAATACTGTTTATAAATTACTTTCAGGCTACGTGGGTAAGGTGAACAGAAAGTCCACAAGTTATAGACAACCAACTTACATCCAACTCCTAGTTAAGAACGTGGGTGAGACAACAGGAAGTGACAGAAATCTACCCCCTTGGAAGGGAAACCCACTCCTGGGAGTTATCATGGGGAAAAGGTGCCTTCACTGAAGCAAAATCCTTGTTTCAACAATAAGCCAATTTTTTCAAAATTCATTATCACAGGAACAGAAAGTGAATTGAAATCTTTTGAATAGGGGCATAGACAGAAAAACAAACACCACAGGGTGTTACCCCTTCCCTGTTCTATCAAAAGCTTGCATATATATACAGTTGCATTTGTATGTAAGTCAGAACAGGTACATTTTAAGTGTAACTCCAGCTATACATACACATATACGCACATACACATACATATGCACGCACACACATATACTGGGAACTGCCTGTATAAGAAACAAGATAAATTTTGTGTTTAGACTTGGATCTATCTCCACGATAAGCCATTATGCAAATACTGGTATTCCAAAATAAAAGAAATGCAAAATACTTTGGTTCTAAGAATTAGGGGATACCCAGTCTGTACATTCTTCTCCAAAGAGCAAGTGTGGTATTGAGTATTGCACGAGGTCTCTTGCAAACTAGGGTTTGAATCCCCCTTCTTCCATGGAAATCAATTGGGTGATCAAGGGCGCATCACACACTCAGAGGAAGGCAAGGGCAAATTGGTTCTGAACACATCTGGATCCAAAAACAACCAGGTCCCCGTGTCTTTTATTCTGGTTCTCCAATACATATATTGCCTGTTTTCCCCCCAATAATGTCTTGAGGTGCCTTTTATAGTTTAATTCCCCTGCATCTCCATGGTCTAAGCAGATTTTAAAAATAAAAAAAATATGAATATTAGTAAGAGAAGTGAGACTTCTTGATTTATTCCTTTCACTAGTAGTTTAACAATAAAAGGTGGAAAGAAATGACCATGAGCTTCCCTTTTTACACTCTTTGGTTCGTCATGTAATTCCAAATGATATATTCAAAGCACATTTTGAGAACCATTTCGCATGTCTCCAGCTCAACTGTGCGCTCAACATCTCTGGATTGCAAAAAGTGCTGTTTATATGTTTTGCAAAACTGAACTTAATGTACCTTTATCTGCAAAAGACTTCCTTTTTATTGAATGATACACATTTCTTCCACTACAGGGAGCAGTTATGTGGCCACACATTTTTATGGCATAGATTGCTGTCAAAAGATTTCTGAGGGTTGAACTAAAACATATGGACAGAGACTGGAATTAATGAGCAACCTGCAAGCCTATGGAGGCTCAGATATTAAGGGTCTCCTCAGACAGAAAGGGGAACACCAATTCCTATATTCATCAGGCTCCATGAAATCTCAGGACTGGGACCTGAAGTCACCTTGGCTGTGTCAGAAAAATTGTATTTTTGCCTCTTATCCTTCAAGCTCCAGCTAACGTACATAGTTCCAAGACCTTGTAATTCTGTAATTTGCAGATAACTGTGCCCCAAATTAGAATAAAATGCTCCACATTAGAATAGCCTTGTCCTCATATATATACAATAGAATCTCTAGGTAATAATGTCCCAACGTAAGTATGTTTTAATTTACAATTCCTCAGTCAGCCTAGAGTAATGTTTTGACATAAGAATGCTGTTTTGACCTACAAGCAGTGCAAAAAGAGGCTTTTTTGCCCCCAACTCAGCTCTAACAGCAAGGCAGAGAGAAACAAAACCTGGATTCCTAGCTCTTCCTACAAGGCAAAAGCTCCAGCTAGCTCCATGTGATTGCTTGCCCTGAACATTCTGGGAGGACTCCAGTCTGGAGATGCCACTCCAGAGATTGCAGTCCACCCTGGTGCAGCAGAGCTTCAGCAATGCAGTACTATATGTTTTACTTCAAGAGGAGAAAGAGAGAGAGAGAACAAGAGGGGGAAGGCTGGAATTATAGTATGAAGAAAATGATACTGTTTTGCCTTGCTGTACACTGGCCAACACATTTTGTTGCCTCAGATGTGCTCCCTTGCCACACACACTGCCTAATTTCTGAACATTTTATACATTATTTGTTATTTATAAAGTACATTTTCTTATTTAAAAATACATAACAAAAAAACAGCTTGATAGATTTCACTTTCAGATAAGAATGTTTTGACTTAAGAATTTAATTCATCCTGTGACTGTGTTCTTAAGTCAAGGTATCACTGTATTTGTGGCAACAACTGAACTTCGCATTTAAAGAGGTGAAGGTTCATGACTATCTTCTCTTCTTACCAAAACACAATCCACAGAACTAGTGAAGATATTTCGTTGGGAGTGAGAGGTCATGAAATATGGGATAAGCTCCCTCTCTGCTGCTCTGGAAACTAGGACTTGGAGGAATGGGTTCAAATTATAGGAAACGGGATTCCACCTGAACATTAGGAAGAACCTCTTGACTGTAAGAGCTGTTCAGCAGTGGAACACTCTGCCTCGGAGTCCAGTGGGGATCTCCTTTCTTGGAAGCTTTTACAACGAGCCTGGATGGCCATCTGTTGGGCTGCTTTGATTGTACTTTTCCTGCATTGCAGGCTTTTGGACTGCATGGTTCAAGTGGTATCTTCCAATTCTATGATTCTAATATCTCATAGTTCCAATTATACGTTTATCAAATCATTAAATCATCAGGTTCAGCTAGATCAGTGGTTCTCAACCTGTGACTCCCCAGGTATTTTGGCCTACAACTCTTTGGGATTCTTATTTGTTTATGACGTAAACAAATAGGAGCTTCCCGGTGGCGCAATGGGTTAAACTCTTGTGCCGTGAGGACTGCTGACCAATCCTGGAAGTGGGGTGAGCTCCCATCTCTCAGCCCCAGCTTCCCATGCGGGGACATGAGAGAAGCCTCCCACAGGATGGTGAGCAACGTCTTTGCAGATGGCCAATTTTCTCAAACCAGAAGCGACTTGCAGTTTCTCAAGTTGTTCCTGACATGAAAAAAAATGTAATAATTCCAGAATTTATGTTTTTCCACTTCTGCTAGTTTATTTCCATAGTGTTTTTGAGGTACATGTGTCAGAAAGACCTTTGGTTTTTTCAAAGAAGAGAACCTGATCCAGGATGGTTTACTACAAACTATCTTCTACCATTCTTCTCTTTTAAAATGGCAACACGAATTCAAACTTTCAGACACAGGGTTCTTGTGAGTTTTCCAGGTTGTATGGCCATGTTCAGGAAGCATTCTCTCCTGACATTTTGCCTGCATCGATGGCAGGCATCCTCAAAGGTTGTGAAGTCTTCGACAGTCGCACACACTTTCATAATTTTTGTATCCGGTGTGATTTTCAGATAGGCATTAAATACACTTCTAAAGATGCAGCAAGCTTTACATGAATAAAAACGCAACAAGTGATAAGAGAAATATCAAGCCTTAATGATGAAGGGGAAAAAACTCTTACAGAAATCTTTTGTAATAATTCAAAAATTTAAGAGTTATCAAAATGTGGACTATTCGATTTCAATGCCTGAAGCTTTCTAGTTTGTAAATATGAGCCAAACTGTACAGCATTATAATACGTATTATTGTATATATGCAAAGAGAATCTGTCTACTGATGTAAAAAGAACAATTTAAAGAATTTATTAAATTATTACCGAAAATTGATCAGCCATTTGAAAATAAGCTTTTTGCTTTCTTAAGGTCTACTGTAGACAGACTTGAGCCTACAAAGAATCACTACAACAGTGCCATTATTAACAGGATCACCTTCTCTGAGAAATGATTATATATCTGAACATGCTTTATGATTTTTAGGTCTTCTCTTAATGGGGGAGATAGTTATGTCAAATCAATGAAATAAAAAAACTCCTGAACTATGTATCCACCTGTTGCACTAGTCTAATAACTTTGTTTCAAGGATTATTATTACGATTGCATTGGATTCAAAATGCCAGATAAGCGATTGCATAACTGAACAATATTTCCACTTCCAAATAAAAGAACACCGTAAATAAGTCCATGACATATTATATTGTTGGTCAGGAAATGACCCTTATCACAACCGCAATGATTTTGGGTAATTCTTTTTGCCACATTCACATTAACATAGGCTTTTTAAAAAGCAAAAGGGAAATGTCTGCAAGCTTTATTTGCAACCTGAAACTTCCTTCTAATTCAAAGTTTCTGAAATGTGCTTCTAGTCCAGGCATGGGCAAACTTTGGCCCTCCAGGTATTTTGGACTTCAACTCTCACAATTCCGAACAGCAGGTAGCCTGTTAGGAATTGTGGGAGTTGAATGCTTGTTCTAATTCCAGGAAGCCACTGAGATATTGGCAAATATCACAAAGACACTGCTTTGAGATATCATTTAATATGGGAGAAGTGACGGAAAGCAATTATCAGCTTCATCACAAAGAACAAACACTACAATATAGGGGTGCAAGAACACAAATGTCTAGTAGAGAGAAGTGCCTATTATTCTGACGGGCTATAAACACTCAAAAGGAGGACACACATGCTTAGTAACATGGCCAAATTTCCACTTTGCCTGTGGAAAACTGTATGGAAAATTATCATCACAATCTTTGGAAACTGACCATGTGAGAAGTGATCACGGCAGTGCCTTGGCAATGAGAAAGAAGGAATTCGATTTTCAACTAATTCTAACTTTGTTCAATACTTCCCTTTATAAGAGCTACAACTTCTTAAGCTGTAAAATGACTAGCCCTAAATTGCTATTCAATCATGTAACTGGTTTAAATAACATCTATAAACATTCACAGAGCAAACCCTCTTCCTTCTCACCCTTTGGTAACTGAATAAAAGTTTGTTTTCTCAGTGATCTCATTTAACTGACTATATCTAATGCTGATTTCACTGAACCAAATTAAGATTACATAAATGTTGAAGGAGGGCCATGCTTGGGAAGAGCGCTAACTTCTGATTCCTCTGTACAATGATAGCTTTTGGAAGGAGGCAACTATGCAACTGTGCAAGCAAATGACTTCACTATGCAAATGAAAAGTGTTGAGAGTTATACCACATTTTATCCTATATTACTGACATGCACCATTAAGTAGTGGTCACTGTGGACCAGAATTACACGTTAGTTTTTATGTGTATGTCTATTCAAATAGGTAACAGTGGAGAGTTTGGGAGCTGCACTGGTGCCGCCTCTATTTTTTTATTTTGACCTATTTCAAGAGTCCCCAGTCCCCAGGGACAATTGGGGGTGGGGGGGGGCAATTTTGTCATCTTCTGAGGGATCTCTGGAGAGTTTTAGGCCCAGAACAGACCTTTTTTCAGTTGAAATTGTTTAGATTACTGACTGAGAAAAGGCACTCTTGGGCTTTAAACTCATTTCCAAAACACCGAGGGCCCTTCCACACAGCTCTATATCTCAGAATATCAAGGCAGAAAATCCCAGAATATTTGCTTTGAACTGGGATATCAGAGTCCACATTCAGATATTGTGGGACTTTCCGCCTTGGTATGCCCTTAGTGGAATTGGGGGACACAGAAACATTACTATTTTTTAATGAGGGCTTGACACAGGCTTAAAAACTGTCTTATGTGTCTCCCAGGTGGCATTTATCCTATTCTTGACCTATCAGTTTAGAAAAACATAACATAAGAAGTTAAAAGAGAATAATATACAAAACGCATACAACACAAAAATATTTTGTTGATTTAGATCCTGACTTTCTCCCAGAGTAGCACACTCCAGACAGCTTTAAGTAAGAGTAACTATTTACAGATCACAAATCCAAGTTGAAACCTGTGAAGTGACCATAGGAAGCAGTTTAGACACTTATAGTAATATATTAATAATATACCAAGGCTGGAGTTAAAATTGCTGGATGAAACATTAACAACCTTAGGCATGAAGATGATACCACTTTGATGGCTGAAAGCGAGGAGGAGCTGAGGAGCCTTCTGACCAAGGTAAAAGAAGAAAGGGCAAGAGATGGGTTGCAGTTAAATATCAAAAAATCCAAGATAATGCAACCAGACTGATTGATAACTGGCAAAAGGAGGGAGAAAATGTGGAGGCAGTGACATACTTTGTATTTCTAGGTGCAAAGATTACTGTAAGACTGCAGCCAGAAAATCAGAAGATGTTTACTTCTTGGGAAGAGAGCAAGGACCAATCTTGATCAAATAATGAAAAGTAGAGACATCACACTGGAAATGAAGATCCCCATAATGAAAGCAATGTTGTTCCCCGTAGTAACCTATGGATATGAGAGCTAGACCATAAGGAAGATTGAACAAAGGAAAACTGTGGTGTTGGAGGAAAATTCTGAGAGTGCCTTGGATCGAAAGAAGATCCAACCAGTCCATACTCCAGGAAATAATGTCGAGCTGCTTACTGGAGGGAAAGATATTAGAGGCAAAGATAAAGTACTTTGGCCACATAATGAGAAGACAGGAAAGCTTGGAGAAGAGAATGATGCTGGGGAAAATGGAAGGAAAAAGGAAGAGGAGCCAACCAATGACAAGATGGATGGATGTTATCCTTGAAGTGACTGGTTTGACCTTGAAGGAGATGGGGGTGGCGACAGCTGACAGGGAGCTCTGGCGTGGGCTGGTCCATGAGGTCACGAAGAGTCGGAAGAAACTGAACGAATAAACAACAACAAATCATGGCGAACACACATTACAATTATGCTTCAAAGACCAGGTGTTTCTTTTTCAAAATTTTAACTTTTAACAAGTATTAATTACCACTTTCTGAATGCGTGGTGAAAGAGCTTGAAAGATACTTTTTTTTTCATAACCGCAGCATTTTTTTAAAATGCAAAACATATTTTCTTAGAAAATATGCCTTCCAAGGATCAGTAAATGTAGGCAGAATGCCTTCTTGTGTTAAATATAAACTACAGTCTTAAGTGAGAAGCCACTGGATGGCCTCACATACTCAAAAATATATGGCTAAACACTATGTTTCTGTTCTGAAGCACCGAAATATCCCCTGCGTAAGACAACGTGAATTTTAGAGTCACATGATGGAGCCATAGGCCTGCCAGAGATGCAACGTGTATGGTTTGAATTACTTGAAACCAAGTCCTGTTCCCTACAGAACTGTAGGTTTTTGTAGTCTGAGTCTTAAACAGAAGACGTCACTCCATACAGGAAGCTGAATTTGCACTAGAACGGTTTGCTATTTTTCTCTGAGCAGCAATTTCATCAAACTGATCATAAAGAGAGAGTACAAGCCTGTTGCATCTGCAGAAAATTTTCTTTCACAGGTAAGTGATATATTTTGTTTTGAATATGAAATATTTTCAACTCTAGTAAAAGCCAAAAATATCGTATGAAAAGAGTTCTGGACTTTTAACCTCCTTTCCTTTCCTAATATTTCAAAACAATGCAAACTGCCTATAAATGTCTCATCTGGGGGAGGGGGGGCATGCTATAAAAACTATAAACAGGCCTGGATTTTTTCCACTTTTCTACTACAAAACTCTTATGAATCATGATGAATAAGTGTCACAGAGGTCTTAAATGTTGAAGAAGCCAGATGCTTCAACTATTTAAACAAAGAGCGAGAGGAGAGTTATCTAGTTGTATTAAGCATTAATTCTGTCTTCTCCGTTTTAGAGGAAAGAATGAATGAAGAGTTACAGAAGTGACAAAATTTAAGCATAACTTTTGACATTCTTCTGTACAGATGTCTCATCCTAATTTTCAAATATGTTTCTGCAGACATAATTCCTCCACCCAATTAAAGTTCTACTGTAATCCAATGTAGTATTACAAAGTTAAAACCACACAGATTCATTAGCAGTTGTGTGCAAAACATTCTGTGGGTGAAACAACTTCTTTTTTTCTTCCAAAAAAAAGGAAGTAGGGCTCTCATATGCTGAAACAACTATACAAAAACAGTTTTGGTTTCTAAAACAATGCTTCCCAAACATAGTACTATAGCTTGGAAGCTTTCAAATAAGCTGTCAGTTTAAGACTTGAATGTTTTAAGCAAACTCCTGGCTTTCTTTCTCTCGTCTAGAGAGACCTATCCTGTGGTACTCGCTGTCTCTTCCATGTCGTGGTTCAGCTCCATCTATTGGCAGCAATGGAAAATTTATGAGCTGAGCATCTTGAGCCTGAGAACAGGATTCCAGAACATTTTTACCCCCATTGCCAAAGTAAATAAACCTTAATGCACTAACAGAACACTGCTCTGTTTTAAAAATAGAGTGGCCAGACAAATGGAAGAATGGGAACCAGGAGAAAAGGTGAAGAACAAAAAGTGAGAAGGAGGCAGGGGAATTCAAAAGAATTTTGCCTACCACTATTTTGTAATAAATGGGACACTTTTGGTGCTCTGTTTTCCATAGCTGTAAAATACTGATAAATATCATTTCTTACTTTAACAGGATAACACTATATTCTAGTGATAGTGAACCCTTCTGAAAGTTCCTTTCAGAGAAGATCAGAATGCCCTAAAAGGCAACTTGCTTACCATCACTCATAATACCCGGCAAGCAACACAAAATTTTAGGCAGAGATCTGGCTTGTTCTATGAAAAATGCTCGTTTAATGTCTGAGAATAGCAAGACAATTCATTTCTATGATCTCCGTAACCGATTTCCTTAGATCACTTCCCTAAATTTCTCCACTCCATTGATTCCTGTGGCTATTATACCCAGAAATCTCAACAAATTGATACAGGAAAAAAAAACTCCACGAAGGAAGCGAGTTCCTAAGCCACTACCTTGCACTCAATGTATTCTGAATAATTTTCATGAAATATGGACAATCCAAAGCAATTAATTCTGTAGAACCAAATAAGTAAAGCAAAGGGATTTGGCATATATACAACTTTATGCAAATATACTGCAAATCACTGCAGTAAAATATGCCATTGCACTATGCAACTGCAGGAAACAAGGAAAATTTTCTTTTCCCGAAGAGTAATGTTCATTAAACATTCTTATTATAGCCAGTTGGTATAACTGTATATTCTTTTGGTGGGGGAAGAATTGCTATGTGCCATTTACACATTCAAATCTAATCTTTTCAATGACAAATATATTTGATGATGGCAAAATAATCATAGGAATTTTTGTTTCTGTACGCTCGTGTATCACTCTACTAAAAGAACTATGTGTGATATACATTACTATATTTCTACTTGCATACCAATAAAAAAAATACATATGATCTAGATCCCTTTAGAGTCAAAATTTCATAAAATGCAAGACTAGTTTCTCATTAGAATGAGAACACATAAAATGTGTTTTCTCAACATATTTTTTTCATCAAAATTGCAAATTGATTTTAGATACTCTGAAAACATTAGTTGGAAACATGGGTGTCTCCAAATATTTTTGATCCCAACTCTTATCAAACCATGTCAGCGCAACTAATGCTGATGGGTGATGGGAACTGTAGTCAAAGAACCTCATTCCTCTCATTTTAGTCTGTGCACATACCACTAGATCCAGTGTTTCTTAGCACCAAGGTTGGCCAAGAAAGAGTTTCAGCAACATTAACTTGTTTAGTTTCAGTGGTGGGGTGTTAAAATATTTTTTTACCTGACTACTACTGAGGTAAGGGCTCCAAATGCTGTGCCTTACAAATATTTGCAATAACAGCCCATCCCAAACACATGAAAAAAATTACAAAGGACTTGGCAGGATAGAGTAAGAAAGGTAGGCACCATTTCTGAGTGAAATATTCCTTTAAAAAAAATTCAGGCATGGAAAGGTGAAGCAAATGGTGGAGAGGGAGAATATAGCCCTTCAGTGGTCCTTGATGTTCCGATACAAGGATGAGACCAGAGACCAATTTCAGCTCATTTTAATTTTTTTTTACATTTAAGTAGTTTATTTAGTGCTTAAACCATAGGTCTTTCACATATAGGACAAACAAATACATATATTAAAAACAGATTATTAAATACAATTCAAAATACACCATTAAAATACTGCATAAACCGTTAAAATTCTACATATATTAATGACGAGGTGCACCCTTAAAATACTACATAAAATACCATATGAACTAGGTAAAGGGAAAGGTTTCCCCCTGACATTAAATGGTCGTGTCTGACTCTGGAGGTTGGTGCTCATCTCCATTTCTAAGCCAAAGAGCCGGCATTGTCCGTAGATGTCTCCAAGGTCATGTGGTCGGCATGACTGAATGGAATGCTGTTACTTTCCCGCCGAAGTAGTATCTATTGATCTAGTCACATTTGCATGTTTTCGAACTGCTAGGTTGGTAGAAGACTATATAAATTAGGTCTTGAATAGTTCAAAACCAAGTAAATTCAGTATTATTAAAACTTAAGGAAGGAACACTTTGGATATAAACAGCTCATTTTAATAACCTACCAGCTCAAGCTTCAGCGGATGTACTATTCTCAGTAAATTCTTTTTTGTGGTTTTTTTTCCACTATAAGAAACTCCCAAGTGATTTTTTCAGTTCAACATATATTAATGAAGTAGAATTTATATTGGTAGCTGAATGGAAAGAAACTAATCCCATTTACATCAAAATCCTAATTCCTTGCTGAGCATTGGGAAATGACTGTCAGTCGAGCAGACAAATCCTTCCCTTGCAATGCATACACACAATTTAGTCTTATGCCATGAGTGCAGCTTTCCTACATCTAGTACTCCCTTTCATACAGCATCGGAAAAGCAGCTTCGCTGTAGCCAATCTTGCCTTTCTGTTTCTACCAATGTTTTTGGCGATAAAGGTTTCGCTGTGAGAAGCAGGATGCTACACCTAAATAGACCATAGATTTTGACTCATTATATCTGGCTCTTTATATATTATATTGCTGCTTTTTATGCAAGCCAACTCTCTTGCACATAAGACAGTTGGCACTGCAAACTACTTTAACCAGAGAAGTTCAGCCATAGCAGAGCACCTGATGAACCAACCTGGACATAGCATATTATTTGTGAACACAGAAATGCTGGAACACTCTAACAACTACTATATCAGACTACACAGAGAAGCCACTGAAATCCACAGGCAGGTGGACGTTTTCAACAGAAAGGAAGAAAACATCTGGCAACCAAATCAGGATAGTAAATAAAGAACAACACTCAAAAACTGGGGAATTCCACACAGGAAACAATCAGGGTCAGCTAATCATCTCCAAACCAAAACTTCCCCCAGGCAGTAAGCAGCCAGACCTTGAAGCTGCAAGGCCATTAAATGGCAATGAAGGTGGCCAATTGCAACATTCACACCTGCCTCAAACAGACAAGAGTTCTTTCTCCCACCTGGACATTGCAGAGATCTGTAAACCCCACTTGCCTAGTTTCCAACAGACCCCACAACCTCTGAGGATGCCTGCCACAGATGAAGGCAAAAATCAAGAGGGGATACTTCTGGAACATGGTCACACAGCCAGGAAAACTCACAGCAACCCAACTCACTGTTGTACCTTTCCACATCTAAGTAGGCACGGAGATGAAACAGAAACTCTGAATCTATCAAAACACACACACACACACACACACGCAAAACTTTTGATCAAAAAAGTCAAATCCCACTCAGACTACAAAGTTTGAGTTTGAGTGAGACATAGGTCTGATATAGCTTTCACAGTCAAGACCCTATTCTATAATCCCCAACTGAGTAAGTTCAAAAGTACATAACAAGACTTAGTGAATGCTTATGAACTGATTCTTATGACTTGTTATTTGATGATCTGACCAAATGGAATTGGGAGGGGGGCCTTTATACATACTCACACTAACCAATTAACAGTTCAAAAGACAGTCCCTAACAAACACACAAAATAAAGGCACCTTGGCGCTTCACAATCACCAGCTTGAGACTCACCGCATAGCAATTAATGGGGTGATATAAAGTGCAGAATTTCTAACTGTGACAGAACTCTATTAAAGAGGCATAAGAAAGCCTTATGGAAGAACATTATTCTATTATTAGATGACACTCTATGGAAACCTCTGATAAGGAAAAAACCCAAGCCATTGGAGTGCCACAGCAACTCATTGTACATATACACTCTGCTTGAACAGATCAGCTTTGCATATTATTGAATGATTTGAAGAAGCCCCTGCATTAAATCTGGAGATTAATGCAAAAACTGAAATGCTTATGTTAGAAAGGAAACAGAAGATGAAATACCAAACATAGCATGCTATATATGTTAATTGCAGATATGTGCAGGCACTATAAACTAGCTTTCAAAATGTGCTAATGATTTTTAAAGCTCCATAGTTTTCTACTTTATTTTAAATATGAACTGTTTATCCTGTCACAACACAAGCCCTGTATCTTCTTTTCTGAAATCCCAGAATAATATTGGCAACGGATTTCCTCTAACAAACTATATGGAAATCACCTTTTTTGATAATGAACAAATTGTGCTTTTAGGTGGCCAATAAAATGACATGTTCCATATTTATTGCAGTCATTTTCTGAGGAGCAAACAGCCATTGAATCTTTCTACGTAGTGTATTATTTGCTTAAAAGGAAAAAAATGATGCCTTCTCTTGGTAACAGAATCATGCCGGCACCACATGATTGAGCCATTACAGATAATTCCCTGTCATCTTCACCTTAAGAAACCCTTATCTTTAGGAATTTATAACTGCTATAAACATAAACATGCACATGCAGAGACCAAAGTTAGCAATTAAGGAAATAATCAGAGAAGAGAGCTAAAACTTTTAAGCCTGAAAGAAACAATATACCTTTTTTTTTTCAATCTCTACAAACTGCACCATGGGATTTAGGCAAATGCACTCTTTAAATAAAAAGGTGCTATTAGTAATGCTGGGAAATGGTAATTTTCACAAATGTTGTAAAAGGTCTAGTGCTAAAAGAGAAGCCATAGACATCTACAAGTTTGGGAAGAATAGGATCTCTAGCACTATCATCATTATCAACACAGCCATTTTTATCACCACCACCTTGATTTACACCCCACCTTTCAAAACACCAATGCTCCCTTGTACCAGTGAATGCAAAAATATAATGGTGCACTAAATCACAAAGGGTTGAGGAGCAGGCGGACGCTTGGAGATGGAAAATTTTTCATTTTTCACAAGGCTACTGTGTGGCATGTATCGTTTTCTTGGCTGGTTGACAGTACAGAAATCAGCCTGTCCTGTTACTGGACTATGGTTGGGTTCAGGTTATTATAAATATTAAGCCCTTCTTCATGAATCTCAAAGCCATAAACAGTATTAACACTATCCATGAGTCAAGAAAGTATGCAATTAATTCTACATGCCAGAGAGGGAGGGAAGGTTTGGATTCCTATCGCCTGAATATCAGACCTCCTATGTCACACAAAGTCAAGGAGAATTTTAAAAACACTTTTTTGAAAACTGTAGCAAAGAGAGAAGATGTGTAAGATCACAGAAAGCCACCATAGAGCAGTTTAGAACTACTAACCCTTTACAGCTCAGGATGACAAAGCCAGGTTGTTCTCACATTACTTCCCTATTCAATCTACCCCAATCAACATCTAAAAACAGGATGTTCTCAAATCAGAGTCTCATATCCAAACCACACTGAGAACCAAGATATGCATTACAGAGAAAGCAGGAGCCTTAAATGTCCACCTCAATTTAACTAATGTCAGTTCTTCCCCAGGGTTATGGACAGAGGGCCCCAGTGAAAGTGAACTGTGAATAATGAAACAGTTATATATTTTTTATCTAAGAGAACAACTTTAGCAACTTTGAGGTCTTTCAGTGTGACTCTATGATCAATTTACACCACAAGGTGACCATAGGATTGTATTGAAGGACCTAGAGATTCCTCTCTAGGAATCTCTAGATCAGGGATCCTCAAACTAAGGGTCGGGGCCCGGATATGGCCCTCCAAGGTCATTTACCCGGCCCTCGCTCAGGGTCAACCTAAGTCTGAAACTTCTTGAAAGTACACAACAACAATCCTGTATCATCAGCCAAAAGCAGACCCACACTTCCCATTGAAATACTAATAAGTTTATATTTGTTAAAATTCTTCATTTTAATTATTGCATTGGTTTTGAGTGTCTTTTGCAGTGTGCATAGGAATTCATTCATGGTTTTTTCCAAATTATAATCTGGCCCTCCAACAGTTTGAGGGACTGTGACCTGGCCCTCTGTTTAAAAGGTTTGAGGACCCATACTCTAGATCCTCCAGCATGACAAGAGGAAGTTGGCCAGATAATCACACTGGATGTCCAAGAGATTCATAGAGAGAACATTTTAATCAAATATGAAAATAATCAAATCTGTAAGGCCTGGAAAAGAAAGAGAAACACTCTCTCCCCAAGCTCATTCAAACATCCTTCAAAAACAATTGAAATAGCTGTGTTTTTGTGTGAAAAAATGCTGTTGACTTGTAGTAGTAATTGTATATTGGGGAGGGGGGTGTCATAGTTTGCTAACTTTTCAAGCTTACACCTAATGTGACAAGAGCAGGATTAGATATTTTCTGACAGGGCACATGCTGGCACTGCTTCCCATGGGAGGCCTGAATTACATTTCTCAAGTCACTCACTATATTGTCCTTTCAGTTTACAGGACCTCCAAGAAACCAACTTTTCCCACAAGAATGGTCTCACATAATATGTCATGGCTAAAGTACCCGAGCCGGAGTGAAGGCCAAAATAGCAAAGACATTATACATTCCAATGATGTAATAGCCATGCTTATGCATGTCTACATTGTACTCTTTGTACCAATTGGTCTAATAGCTGGGATCATTATTTTAGGCATCTTAATCAAGAACTGCATGCACCGTGCCTTGAAGAAATTGGACATCGTGATTTTTGCTCATACCATCAGCAATATTGTGCTGATTTTGCTGTCATTCACTGTCACCACAAGGCCGGGCTATCTCAAAGTATCCTACTTCGAATGTGGCATCCTGTCTTTTTTTTTCAACCTGAGTTACTTCAGTTCTCAGTACCTTCGGGTGCTAATGGTGGTGAGCTTTTCTTTCAGCAGGCACCCACCCCAGAATGCTTTCATCAGCAAGGCACATCAAAACATACGAGTATGCATTGGATCGGTATTGATGTACGCCTTATGTACTGCCCTGATAGTAACAGCGATGCTGGGCACAGTGAATAACCATGAAAAAACAGACTGCCAATTAGATCCTTTATTTGCATGGCCCGAGTATGAGATTATAAAATTTAGCCTTGGCTTCTGCATTCCGTCTTTGGCCAAGCTTTTCTTCTTCATTCTCTTGCTGGTTAAAAAAACCCGGACAGAAATTGACCCCTCAAGACAAAGTTTTACGCCCTATTTGACTGTTTTTGTTATCAGCATAACCATGGTTATATGTCGCCTGTTTTACAACGTGATGCTTGTCTACAGGGCCCTTTTGAAGTTATACAGAAGAACATTGACAATTCAAACTGAGTTGACCACAAATATTGCAGAAATCATGCTGTTTAGTGAAAGCTGTCTCAGCTTATTGATCATACTTTTCCTTCATAAGCCATGCAGGTCAGGCTTATTGCATATTGTAAATAAACTTACAAAAGTCTGCAGGAGACGCGATGGCAACAATACCTTTGAAATACGTGAATTTCACACTGAAGTTTCATCTGTGCCTTCGGAAAATGAATCGCACTTGAATTTGGACTAACAAAATAGCAGTATTTAAAAATAGCTAAACATCTGCTTAAAAGAGGTACCTGAATGTATAAAAGGCTTCCTGCCTTATTTACTCCAGATGCTGGCTACTTAAGAAGAGGTGTTCTTAGGTGCAAAAAGACAGCTGCGATTAAAATAACTGCAGGCTTTGCAAGCGTTGTCATTACATGTTGATCCTTTGCTTTTGTGGGTGATGTCCAGGCAGCAGAGTGGAGAACAGTGTGGATCACTTGATAAAGAGCTTTAATGAAGAGAAATGTTGTCTACTTTTTATTTCTGTCATGGACTTATTTTTATTTTACGTTTACAATACGAATGTATACAAGATGAGGAAATGCAGTGGAAAGACTGTGTAGGAAAGAAAAATTAATATTATCATCTATTGAATTAACGTACTATTTTACTAATAAGTCTGTCATACTGACAGCACCAACTAAGATGTCACTATCCACAACCCATCAAGGGATGCAAGTCACTTGCAGCGAGATTCCTTTTCCTGATTTTGATTCATCCCAACCAAACACTCAATTCTATTTTTTCAGTCCCAAGAAAAGTAAAGCCAGCCTGTTCAAGGATACGTTTGCTTCTAAAAGACTTTCCAGTGCATGGAATCAGTCAACAATGCATGTGACAACAGAAGAACTTGCAGTCTCATTAGATTAGACATCCTGCGGAGAACCAAACATACTAAAAGGAACTGAAAGGAGAACTAAAGGGACACTGTTTTTTGCTGGTAGAACAGAGCCCATTCAGACTTCCTATCCAAATGAACTGCTGCACCATTCAAGGTTTCAAAAAGACTTATTTTCAGTGGGATGGGGGAAACCTACTGCTTCTACAAACAAAACTGTTGTTCTGGGCTTCAAATTAATTTCCCAGGGTTAAGGAAGGCTTAAACCCATTTGGCAAAGCTTAACAAAAACCCAAACAAGACGACCAACAATGTAACAGATCTATAAGGTGAGCTACTGAAGAAAATAAGGCACATCAGGAGAACATCATGTCCATATTCTATGGTAATTCTGACCCCTTAAAATGGTTATGGAGAGAACACTGAAACTATGCCAATCACAAGGGCAAGAAAAACCTAAAGGCAATAATGACAATAGCTCTTTCATTAAGCTGTGCAATAAACAGCATTCCAAGTGAGTTTGGTATTTTTTTAAAAAAAACCCTGATATGAACAGAAGAAGGAGCATGTAAAACGTAATAGGGAGTCAGCCCTGCAGGAGACAACTGTCTGAGGGTCAAAATGTTATATTGAAAGATTTAGCTGTAACCTAAGACACACTGAATTAAGATATTTATCAGAACTTAAAAACAACCAATCCAAAAAGGTCCCAAAAGGTAGTCTTTTTTATTTATATTACACATGATGCAGGCCTGTAGCCAGGATTTTGATTCGGGGGGAGCTGAGTTTGATTCGGGGGGGGGGCTGAGTCTGAGTGAAAGAGGGTCTACTCTAGCAAACCTTTTGTGTCGTTACCCCAATACCCCCATGCATATGGGATATATTGAGCATGGTGATCAGATCATGATATGAATAAACATAACAGTTTAAATAATGTGCCAGCAAGGCCTTCTCGTGGAACACCATGAGAATTTGGGGGGAGGGGGCTGTAGCCCCTCAAGCCCCTCCCCCCCAGCTACATGCCTGACATGATGGGATCTTTTCCGTGTACATTCCCTCCCTTCACCGAAGCTAATTCTACCCTGAAAAAACAATCCAAGTGAATAGAATAGGACTAAATAACACCGTCCTTTAAGTAGATCATGTGTAGACATCTGACTGTGCTGAACTCAGGAAGCATTCACAGGTTTCTTACAGAAGGAAAAAAGTACAAGGAGAATGTTTCATGATGAAAAACCTAAGGTCACTGACACACGTACACACATTGGCTTCCAACACATCCCTCCTCAAATCCTAACTGAAGTGAAACCTAAATATGTGTATTTGCATAGGTTTATAGTCCTGCGTTCTCACACTTGCTTCTATAAGTTGCTGGATGTAGGAACATGTCCTTGTTCTTGATCTATCCTTTGCTACCATGTATCCTGTTATGTACATTTATGATACTATACAGCTCAATATATTTAAGGTTATTAAATTAATCTTAAAGTATTTAGTGTTATAATGTTACAGTGAGTTCTCAGTATCTGTCGGGGTTTGGTTCTAGAAGCTATCCCACCCTTCATGAATACCAAAATCTACTGATGCTCAAGTCCCGTTTGTTACAATGGCATGGCAAAATGGTGTTCCCTTATATAAAATTGTGCATAATTATTATTAGTGCTGGGAAAAGCCTGGGGATATGTACAATAGCAGAAGACTACAGCTAAATATCCCTATGCAGTGTAGTGCTCTAGGTTTGTGTTCTGAACCCCCGGCCCCAAATATTTTCAAATTGTGGTTGATTGAATCTCTGGGTTAAAAAAACCCATGGAAACAGAGGGCTAACTGTGACACTCATCTCACCTGAATAACCTCCAGAAATAGTAATAGAATCATAGAGTTGGAAGAGACCACGTGGACATCTAGTCCAATCCCCTACCATGCAGGCACAATCAAAGCAATAATAGGTAAACAACTATCTTGTGTATGTTCACATATTGCGACCTCTCCCAGAAACACTATTTCATCCCTAGTGCTTCCTGCAAACATCACCATGTTTGGAAATGACTCAATGACTGCCAAATATGCTGGGTTTCCTGTGCAATATGCATCAGAGCCAGGAGAGGGCTTGGAGGATGCTGTCCAGCTGATTGAGATATGGGGATAAATATAATTCTGATATTCTGCTCTACTAGCACATTGCTCATCTTCCTAACAGAGGGCTATGGGCAGATGTGGGCACATATGATCACCTCCCTGGGCACAGAAAGGACTTCTACGGGCAAGGAGCACATTGCAAAGGTGTAGCATGTAGCAGATGAGGACCCTGTCGTTCTTTGTGAACTGCTATCAAGAGCTTTACTGATATGGAGGTGGGGCTGGGGCTGGTAGACCATACCCAAATACACCCCCATTGATTACAACTGATTCTTTCTCTCCTCAAGATCTGCAGATGAATCAGAATAAAGTGTCAGTTTATGGACCCATCGTTTCCTAAAGACAGAGCTAATTACTAAAGCACAGGGCTAATTACTACCTCCTTGAGGGACGGTCCCAGAAGGTGTTATTGGGTGACACCTGTTCGGCCCCACAACCGTTGTTGTGTGGAGTCCCACAGGGTTCAATTCTGTCCCCGATGTTATTTAACATCTATATGAAGCCGCTGGGAGAGATCATCCGGAGTTTCGGAATGAGATGTTATCTCTACACAGATGATGTCCAAATCTGTCACTCCTTTCCACCTGTCACCAAGGAGGCTGTCCAGACCTTGAACCGGTGCTTGGCTGCTGTGTCGGACTGGATGAGATCTAACAAATTGAAATTGAATCCAGATAAGACAGAGGTCCTACTGGTTAGTCGTAAGGCCGAACAGGGCATAGGGTTACAGCCTGTGTTAGACGGGGTTACACTCCCCCTGAAGACGCAGGTTCGCAGCTTGGGAGTGATCCTGGACTCATCGCTGAGCCTGGAACCCCAGGTCTCGGCGGTGGCTGGGAGAGCTTTTGCACAATTAAAACTTGTGCGCCAGCTGCACCCGTACCTTGGGAAGTCTGACTTGGCCACGGTGGTCCACGCTCTTGTTACATCCCGGATAGATTACTGCAACGCACTCTACGTGGGGTTGCCTTTGAAGACTGTTCGGAAACTCCAACTAGTCCAGCGGGAGGCAGCCAGACTGCTCACCGGAGGGTCATACAGGGAGCATACCACCCCCCTGTTGTGTCAGCTCCACTGGCTGCCGATCCAATTCCGAGCACAATTCAAAGTGCTGGTTTTGACCTACAAAACCCTATACGGTTCCGGCCCAGTGTATCTGTCCGAACGGATCTCCCTCTACGTCCCACCTCGGAGTCTAAGATCTTCTGGGGAGGCCCTGCTCTCGACCCCGCCTCTATCACAAGTGAGGCTGGCGGGGACGAGGAGCAGGGCCTTCTCGGGGTGGCCCCTCACCTGTGGAACTCACTCCCCGGGGAGATTAGATCAGCGACTTCCCTTTTTTCATTCAGAAAAAAATTGAAGACCTGGATGTGGGACCAGGCTTTTGGACATTCTGGCAGCTAAAGGAAAGACCTTGATGATGGGCAGGAATTGACGGAACGGAATGGATTTATGGAACTCTGAACACTGAGCATGAGATTGTTTACTATTGTGTTATGTATGATGTTTTTAACTTGTTAACTGTTTAATTGCTTTTATGTATGTATGTATATTTGATAGAGGCATCGAATTGTGCCTTTTTTGTAAGCCGCCCTGAGTCCCCCCTTGGGGGTGAGAAGGGCGGGGTAGAAGTAACTGAAATAAATAAATAAATAAATAATTTTTCAGGCAAGTTTGCCTTTAGGCAATAAGGTCTCCATATCTAACCCTTTCATGGGTTTGTGTGGAAATAAATGAGTGGCCATGGGGTCAGGAATTAAACATGTCCTCCTACCCACTGAAAACCAGTTTAGCCCTGCTTTGTACTAAGACTGACAGCCTGCTATGAATTGGCTTTCAAATGGGGGTGGGGGACTATCTATATCAGGATAAGCAAAACTAGTCAAATGGGAGCCAAACTCAATGTTTTCCACCATGTATGATGATAATAAACATTTAAAAGATTTCAATAGCCTAAATGACTATCCAATAATTTCAAAATTCAACGTTATCGTAAGCACAAACAGGATGTTGGAAGATTTTCGGCATTTGAGTATTTTCCCAGTCGTGAGGAAAACCTACCTGCTCCTATTCAGCCACCCAAGCCTTTTCCCCCCCTGCAGCAATTAAGAACATACTGTTATAACAACTCATGAGCTAAATGGGAAAGATCACCAAGATCCAAACAAAGTTGATTGCCAATAGCTGGTCTGAGTACACAGTAAGCACATGGAGCCTGCATTAGCTCTTTACCTGGAGCCTGTGGGGATGTGATGTGTTTTTAATATTGTATGTATTTCTCTGGGGAACTGTGGTTTAAGTTTCAGTTATCGTGAAGAGAGCAATAACTTTCATTTCCAACAAAATAAAATATATAATCGTGTTCTGCACCCATCCTTTGCTGATAAATCTATTAGACTATGAGTGTTTGTGTTTTAAAGTTTTGTATTATTTTTACAGATAATACAACAGATGAAAATTGTAGCTAAGGTATAATAGTGTACTTTGATAATGGTATTCAATGCGAGTGGAAAAGTGACATTTTCCCCCTGTCTCCTGTGATGCCACAATGTAATGCCATGTGCAAAAAGGAGATACACATCTGAATAAATATGAATAGTAAAATATTATCAAGTGAGACAAAGAGAAAAGAAATTCTCAATAGTACATTCAGCAAATGTTAATCCCATTTTTGGCTCCCAACTAAAAGCAATGTATAACTTTAATGCAACAATTACTTTCTGTTGATTTAATTAAAAACAAGAACAAGCTAAATCATTACAATGTAATTGGATAGCTCAGAATGATATTTGTACAGAAACAGAGAAATGTATCCCAGACATTCATTCACAGCAGCTTCAGTTAATGGAAAATTTTCTGTGGGCTAATAAAATTGTGCTACAGGAGCGCCTAGTGGCGCAGTGGGTTAAACTGCTGAGCCGCTGAACTTGCTAACTAAAAGGGCGGTGGTTTGAATCCGGGGAGCAGGGTGAGCCCCCGCTGTTAGCCCCAGCTTCCGCCAACCTAGCAGTTCGAAAACATGCAAACAGGCAGGAAGGTAACAGTGCTCCATGCAGTCATGCCAGCCACATGACCTTGGAGGCATCTACGGACAATGCTGGCTCTTCGGCTTAGAAAAGAAAATGAGTACCACCCCCCAGAGTCGGACACAACTAGACTTAATGTCAGGAGTAAAACTTTACAATCTTTTACAGACAGATGAACGATTGAACTGAAGTAAACAGGGAAGTGGAGGCAATAGCTTTGTTAGTTAAAACTCTTTTAGCCCTAAATTTGGGAATATGAGCTTGCTCTTCTCACCATGGGACTCAACCCAATCTGAGCCACCTTAACATTTTTTAATAAGAGGACTGAATAAAAGACCCTTATGGGAGGAAAAACATGGAGGGTCTGTGCTTTGTATTAAAGGGGAACCCCTACTCTTTGAATTTTCTAAGAGCAGAAATGTTCCCTTTTGTTAGTGAAAAGTGGGGAGTTCCTGGGGGAAGGCACAGATATAGGTCAGGGGATGAGGAATGGGCTGCATATGTCATGACAGAGTTGCATTTTAAAAACATATTAAAAATATGAGACATATAAGCAAGTAACCCTGAAGCCAAGCCAAGAAAATGACGTACCTTATGTAAATTAAAGTGAACATTCAAGCATGTATAATTGCGTACACTTGCACACTCTGTCTTGCTTCCAATTATTGGGGAAGGACGGCCCTTCTCCTTGTTGTTATTGCCAAACTTCCTTTGCAACCCTTGCCAGTGCCCCCTTGTTATACTGCTTTTGATGGTCCAGCTCAGTTTCAAAACCAATTTGCTGCAGGGCAAAGGGTGCTTTTATTTGATGAATCTTAGCCCAAACATCCTTTGCTGTGTAATAAATACCTTGTTGTCAGAATACGAAGATAAGGTGTCTAACGTTCTGAGATTATGTACATAAAAATAAGCTGAGAAACGTTCAACATTAATGTTACGCAGATATTATGATGATTATTGTCATATATCGAAAGGGGTGCTTTACACACAGTAAACCAAAATTGAAAGAAGACAGACCTCCCTCCCTCCCACAAGCAAAGCAAAGCCCTTGCCTCATCCCTTCCAGTGAGGAAACGGGATTCAGTGTAGCTGCTGAAGTCTTCTCCCACAGCCAGTGGAACAATTCTGGCAGCCACCAGGTGGAGTTTGTTCAGTTGTCAAGTAGTTTCCTTCGGAGGCAGATGGAGACCAAGCGTCCACCTGCTGCATCGGGATTTGGAAGCACCCTGAGTGAATCGGCCTGTTGAATGGTTCTACGGAAATCATCTTGGTGGCAAAGGCTGCAAGGCATCACACGTTTGAGCTTACCAAAAACCAGAGGCCGTCAAAAGAAGAAATAAGGACCCACCAAAAGAAGGTAGGACCAACTCTCACTCCAGGTTTTAATTCTTGCGATAGAACTCCTTCTGAGCTTCTCCTGCAAAACCTCTTAATGTTTGTCTCTTTTAATCTCTCTCACTATATGCTTGTGAAATATACTGCTTTTTGGTGGAGGCTGAGGAAATGATGCTCAGTGTACTAGCATGTTAGCTTATTATTTTCCTGTATGAAATAGGATTGCCGAAAGCAGACAATGAGTAAAAGAAAAAATGTATATGTCCCAAGGTTTTTAAAAATAAAATAAACAGCCTAAAGGAACCAAGAAAAACAATCCACCAGAAAAAGGTATTGTTTTAAACATCTGAATGTAAAAACTCTGAGCATCAGTATACCTCTAGTTTGATTGACAAGACTTGAATTTCTTGCTATTAAATGTTTCAGTTCTTTAAAAGGTGCACATAGAAATAAAATATGTTTTTAGATAGCTGACTGAACTGCACTAGAATCGGCCTTGTGTACAATCCAGAATCATCTGAACATTGTCTCTTATTATTTGTGACTGGAGACTTCACTGATAGACCAGATTACATGCAGACCTTGGTACAGCCTCTAAAGCAGTACAATTACCATAGGAATACGGGTAGTCCCTGAGTTACAACCATCTGACTTGGAAATGACTCATAGTTAAGACTGGGGTGGGACAACAGGAAGTGAGAGAAATCTTCCCCTCAGAAGGGAAATCCACTAATGGGGAAAAGGTGTCTCCACTGAAGCTTTATCACCAATCCCTGTTTCTACAACAAGTCAGATTTCTCAAAATCCAATTCTCACAGGACAGAAAGTGAGGTGAGATCTTCTGAACAAGAGCACAGACAGCAAAACAAACACCACAGGGGTGTTAACCCTTCCTATCCAAAACATGGATGCAAGTGCATGTGTACACACGCGCGCGCACACACACACATACAATTTATTTATTTATTTATTGTTTACTTCATTTCTATCCCACCTTTCTTGGCCCCAAAGGGGACTTAAGATGGCTTACACATCCAGCAAAAATTAAATGCTGCATAGGTAAGCAATACACACATACACACACACGGCTGGAGTTACACTTACCTGTCCTGAATTACAAACAAATTCAGCCTAAGAACAAATCTACAAAACTTGGGGACTGCCTGTATAGTTGAAAGAATAAATCATAATATTATTTTCTTAACCAATTCTATTCGTCTACTTTCCATTGGTTTGTAAAAGCGATTTATGCTATTGTTTAGGAACAAAAGCAAACCAAAAAAGTTAAGCAGAGAGAGGTTATTCTTAAACTATCTGTTAGGAAATCAAATGACTACATGATTAACTATATTGTGGAAGAATGACTTAATCTAAAAATACAACACAACAAAGCTTCGTAGTAATCCAGGTATAATACAGCCTTTATATTCAGCAAGTGAAAATAATTTTTCAGGATCACTGAAAAGCAATTACAAATACAAATCTCACTGTTAAGTTTGAAATGGGGCCTTTGTAAGAAACAGAGGGTAAAAGAAATGAGAAGGAATCCTATCCTTTCCTCTGGCTAGTAAATAAAGGTGTCATCAGTTTTGTAACAAATGGGTGCACTGTGGGATTATTTATTAAGATTTACTTTATCATTTATGTGAAAGGTACGATAGAACAGGAAGTTCCCCTTTATTGCTTCCACAACTGTTCCCCCCCCCCCCCCCCGATTTTTATCTTATTTTGATAAGAGCAATGCCAGGAGGATGTTTTGCACATTGCACTGAATGGATACCCTGTAACTGCATGGTTTTTTAAAATGTACTTATCATGTGTGCTCAGGTCTTTATGGTTCAGTTAATTAAATGAACATATTTTATAACTAAAAGACTAGTTATGAATTAGCAGTGAACAAATGCCAGTAACAGTCATAAATGATGGCACACGTTCAATCTTCTAGGCACAAGATTAATAATTTTTTCTTTCATTAATTCCAGGTCCAACAGTATTAAGTGCTGCCTAAACTGAAGTAAACAGAGCTATTATGATTCTCCGTCATTCAGCCTCTAAGCAAAGAAAAATGTATATACCTGAAGTCATCAATACCATTAAAAATATAATGTATTACAGAACATAAAGATTGTTTTTCTGGCTTGTCACAATGAAGAATAGCCGACTTTTCTTAAAGCTCTGATTTGAATTGCTTCTGCCTTGCCAGATTTACAAGAATTATTTCTTCAGATTGTTTTGGATCCACCAACAATTTTAGCACCTTGCCACTGAAGGTAAAAGAGATCTACCAAGAAGAAAACCTTAGCCATGGAAGTTTACACAGCATCCACATCTCCAGTACTTTGCAATGGATCATGTTTGTACACCCAAAACAAAACTCTTTCAGACAAATCAGAACACCAGCAATACGTTATAGGTCTTTTTTTGTCCTGTCTTTACACAATTTTCCTTTTTCCTATCGGCTTTGTAGGGAACATCCTTATTTTAGTGGTGAATATCAGTTTTCGTGAGAAGATGACTATTCCTGACCTATATTTTATAAACCTTGCTGCAGCAGATCTCATTTTAGTTGCTGACTCCCTCATCGAAGTTTTTAATCTTGATGTGAAGTATTACGATATTGCCATCATTTGTACTTTCATGTCTTTGTTCCTTCAAATCAATATGTACAGTAGCATATTTTTCCTAACATGGATGAGCTTTGACAGATACATAGCCCTGGCAAAAGTAATGAGGTCCAACTTGTTTCGCACAATGGAACATGCCAGATTAAGTTGTGGTCTCATCTGGCTGGCTTCTATCTCTGCAACATTAGTTCCCTTCACAGCTGTATATCTGCAACATGCCGGAGAGGTTTCCTTCTGTTTTGCAGATGTAAAAGAAATCCAATGGCTTGAAATAACATTGGGGTTCATCATCCCATTTGCCATCATTGGCCTTTGCTATTCATTAATTGTTCGAGTCCTGGTAAGAGCCCACAGGCACCAAAGTCTGCGCCTCCGCCGACAGAAAGCGCTTCGCATGATTGTAGTTGTTGTTCTTGTCTTCTTCATCTGCTGGCTTCCTGAAAATGTCTTCATAAGTGTACAACTGCTCCAAAAGACAGACCAAACCTCATCAAGGGGCCAGTCTTTCAGACATAATTACCCCTTAACGGGACATATTGTGAACCTTGCAGCCTTCTCCAACAGCTGTTTGAACCCCCTTATCTACAGCTTCCTAGGTGAGACTTTCAGAGACAAACTAAAACTGTACATCGAGCAGAAAACCAAAGTGTCCGTTTTACATCGTTTTTGTCATGCCACTCTGAAATCAGTCATTACTGATAGCACTGAGCAGTCGGAGGTTTGATTTAGCCTGTATCAAGGTACCATGACAGAACCTGATCACAATGCTGATTACTAACAGGAAAAAAATGTACATTTTGACCTGTGCACAGATTTGTACTCTATTTTTATGAGAATATGTAAAAGATTACATATTATTCAGATCTGATTTAAGTTTGAATAAGAATAAATGGCTTGTGGAAGGTTGGTTGAATTTGTTCACTCACAAATAATAAGATACCAGAAATATTATGAAAGGAAGAACATGACCATAATAGAATTATCCAATGTTGTTAGTTTTCTTGCATATATTGGATGCCCTGAACAAAACAATAAAATGACAATAAGACTGGAAAAACGCAATAGTACATATTGCTATGAACATCAATAAAAGTCATTGATTTTTCCATCCCAAGTATATCTGCTTACAAATTTGGTTTAGAGAGCTACACGGTTCAGAACACAATACTATATTTAGACAGATGCATTCTGTTACATACAGCGACTTAAGAAAAACAGAAAATCACTCTAGAATTACAGTGGAGACCTCTTTTTTGGCATATCTTTTATGATTTACAAATCCCTGACATTCTCATGAGCACGTACCAGTTTGTAAGTGAAACCCCAAAATAAAGGAATAGTTTCCACAAACCTTAGCCAAATGTACAGAAATATCAAATCAAAGTCATGAAAGTGGACTTCCAGGACAATCCGTTTCCCCTCCCTTCTGAAACCACTGCATTACCATACAAAACAAACCAATGAACCAAATAATAAATTACATACAGTAGCCTGAAGATAGGAAAACTATGACTCTATCATGAAGTCTACTCTTCAGAGCAGGTGATATAAAGAACTTTATGAGAACTGAAAAAATGGGACTGTAGGGAAATGGAGAGCTGTGAGAAAGTGACTTTTCCAAACTTGTGGTATGCATCCTCTTTTAGGATATAGCTATTGGGAGGTTGAACAGGTATCAAGACCAGAAGGCCAAAATCAGAACCATTTTTTAAGATCCTAACGTCTATTTGTCAAAATAGCTTATATATGTGGCAGCATATTTTCAGTATCTCTTTCCAGAATGGAAAATGCAGCTCGTTCCATTACTTGCTTTTAATCACTCTCTCGATCACTTTGCTAAAAAGACAAGTTTCAGAGAAGAGTGGACCTCAATTGATCCTCACATTACAAAAAAACATGTTGTCTCCTTTGGGCTTAGACCCTTGAATTTGACCTCCCCATGGCTGTAAGATCCTGAGAGCCTCTCAAAGCAATGTAGCAAATTACATCGGAGTAGGGGAAGATGCAGCTCTTGCCACATAGATTAAGCATGATCTAGAGATGATATAGTAGAAATGATCAGGGACATTAGGCTGAGAAATCACTTGTTGGATGCTACCTGTGACTACAGAGAAGGCACAGATATGAATATGGAGGTTCAAAATACTCTATTTCCCATGCGATTGCCTCTTTTCTACCTCTCTGGGTTGGGTCGTGGTTCCTCAAAGGACTCTGCTCTCTGGTGTGCTGCCCACGAAGGCCCATTAAATGTTGTGGAACCAGCTGCCACTAAAGCATTATTAAAGCGGCAAAGTGTGTGTAAAACTAAAAATTAATATGAATGCTGTCTCTTTATGAGATCAGAATATGTAGCTAATATGTAATTTTAAATGTTTATGATTTTTTTTTGCAGATAAGACTTAAAATTACGGCTGCAAAAAGCTGTCCAAGCTTAATAAGAATTCATTTTTAATTCTGTAAATGTTTTACATCTAATCAAAGATACTTCATTACAATTCTACAAATTAGAAGTCAAAATATATGTGTAAAACACAGATGCACTACCTATTTTATATGTACTATATTTATAAATATTTACTTTCAATTGTTTAAATTTCAGGTGCATCATACAGCTGCCGGTTTACACAAAGTGTAGCACTCAAAAGTCAATTGCTTTACAGAGCCTGCACAGCATACAAACAGAAGTGTTCAAGCTGAGGATTATAATACTCTGATACTTTAACCATCATGGCTCTATCCTATGGAATCCTGGGATTTGTACTTTGATTACGAATTCTAAGTTTGAAATATTTCAATATATCAAAATATTGAGCCACATACTTGCCACTTAAAATATATAGGTGTGTTTAGGGGGAAAATCCTAAAATTTACTAGGAATTTTGGAATTCCATCCAAGGTGCTTAATGAAAAAACAAATCCCCAAATTCTAAAGCAGTGTTTCTCAACCTAGGGGTTAGGACCTCTTGGGGGGGGGGGGTCATGAGGGAGTTTCAGAGGGGTCACCAAAGACCATCAGAAAACATATATTTCTGATGGTCTCAGGAACCCCTTTGGCAGAGAAGACTGAAGATCTCTCCGCCTGTCCTTTTCCTTTTTGGAAACAGACCGGCCTCTCAGCAAAGGGGAGGGCTGTTTCTGAGACTCCAAGTGGGGAGGGGAGAGCAGGCATGCCCAGCGCATGGCAGTGTGGTGCGCATGTGCGGACGATGGAGAGTGTGAGAGGTGGGAGGGTGGCCCGTGCCAGTGAGTCCCTACAAGGCACGGGGGTTCTATGTGGGAAGCTTGGCCCAATTCTATCTTTGGTAGGGTTAATGAAGGTCTATTTTCCCCAAACTCCACCAGTGTTCACAATTGGTCATATTGGGTATTTATGCCAAGTTTGGTCCAGATCTATCATTGTTTGAGTCCACAGTGCTCTCTGGATGTAGGTGAACTACAACTCCAAAACTCAAGGTCAATGCCCACCAAACCCTTCCAGTTTTTTCTGTTGGTCATGGGAGTTCTGTGTGCCAAGTTTGGTTCAATTCCATCGCTGGTGGAGTTCAGAATGCTCTTTTATTGTAGGTTAACTATAAATCCCAGAAACTACAACTCCCAAATGAAAAAATCAACCCCCCCCCACAAGTGTTCAAATATTTCTGCCAAATTTAGTCCAGTGAATGAAACTACATCCTGCACATCAGACATTTACATGACAATTCATAACAATAGCAAAACTACAGTTATGAAGTTGCAACAAAAATAATTTTTATGGTTGGGGATCACCATAACATGAGGAACTGTATTAAGGGGTTGAGGCATTAGGAAGGTTGAGAAACACTGTTCTAAAGGATCCAGTCCCATCAGTTAAACTGGTATCAATGTACAATATTTGTATAGTGTGAAAAAGACCTTAGAGAATGAACAGAGAACAAAGATCACTACAGTTCAGATTTCACCTTTAGGCTAGAACAAAGGATTTGCCAGAAGTGATTTTAGGTGTTTCAAACAACACTTTCCTCTCTCAGCATCAATGCCCTATCTGCAACATGGACAATAATAATGCCTTGTCTTGCACAAATGCTGGGGAAACAATGAAATGTAAAATGCTTGAATGCTCTGAAGTGCTATATAAAATGTACATAGTGCTGCTACTATTATTACTGCAATTAATTTCCACTTCATCAAGTGAGACTAAGTAATGTCCCAAGTTTTTGTACTGACTTCAATGCATCCAATTTAGATTGGATCAAGAATAAAACAGCCTATGACTTTTTTTGTGGGAAAGTCACCAGCATCTTGCATGCTGGAAAAAAGATGCCTTTAGCTAGCTTTGCCTGGCATCTTTCCAGAATTGAAAAAGATTAAATGTTAAAACAACATCATGCTCTCTTCTCCCTCCCATAGTTATCTGACAGAGCAGCGCTGTTTGTGGAACACTTGGGAGTGGTCTGGACACAGCATGCTGGTCACAAGGTGTGCTGGTCACTAAAGGATAGCCAGAATATAGGGATTTCACAATAAAACTAAGATAGGTCCAACCATCTTGAAGCATTCTTTCTCATTCTCTTTCTCTCACATGCACACAGAAAAGAGACCAGAGACCATTGTAGCTACCAAAAAGGCATTAAAAGATTATGAAAGAGATACTATTGTGGGCTTTTGGTGAGCAAGAGTTAAGAACGGCAGTTCATGAGAAAAACTCAGTGTGAAAAGATGTCTGAAGTTGTGACTAGTCTGGTATGTGGGGTGTCATTCAAAGTCAACCATTTGGCAGACAAGCAACAAAACAAGCACGCACAAACATTTGATACCACTCAAAAATGACACTCACAGAAGTAGAATAGATTCAACATGTGTGTCAGAAGAGCTGCTTGATGAATTGATAGATCCAAAGCAATTATGCATAAACTGTTATCTGTGGCTCTGATTTAAAAGTGAAGATGTTTGTGAAGTACATTTGGCAGCCAGGAATAGTTAATGGAGACCAATGTTAACCTACACAGTATCTAAGTTGACCTCTGTATAAAGTAAAACGTTGGAGTCTATTCAATGCAATCTGCATGATGGATGCTAGGTTCAGCTAACAGAGATTTTAAAAACTTGCTAATTAAAAGAAAATTGGATAAAATTATGCGAATCACTGCAACATGTAAGTATTTAGTAATTGATACAACAAGTATCCTCTAACTGTGACCACCAGTTGGTTTTAGGCCATTCTCAACCATTTGCTTCAGCTGTTATTTATGACCTTTGATGCATTTTAATATGGTTTGAGATCTGGATAGTATGGAATGCCTTACAATGCCCAGGGATATTGGTACAGTTGTTATGCCTGAGTATATTCAATTAGAAATGCCATGGCCACACAGGGCATAACCAAACAGATGCACCCTCACTGTGCTGCATTCCCTTCCCAGTCACCTTAAGGAAGACTGATTCCATTAGCATTCCTTTAAAGCCCAAGAAGTAGGAATATGGCTCAGGATGTATTACATATGATGCTCAATCATCCAGGCTTTTATTTACATTTGACTGCAGTCTCCCTTCCCTCACCCAGGGATACGGCAACACCAGGGGCTAAGAATAAATACCAGTCTGCTGAGCAAGCTATCTTGGCTGGCAACAGAGGAAAGCTGCCAACTCTGCTTTGTTCTGAGGAACTGAGACTTCGCAGTTTCTTCTTATCATCTCATGGAAGCTGTCTGGTTTGTGATAGCAAACCATTCAGTGAATACTGTAGTAATATTAAGTGGCTGATAAAAATCAGAAATTGGGAGTGCCAATAATATTATTCAGTGCCAGAAGCTAGACTTGACTACAATATTTCCAAATTATTTAACTTTTTTCTATCTTACTCTTGATATTATCTTATTTCAAACACATTTTTATGAGGACTGTAACAGATATTCATTTGTTTCTAATCCAAACACTTTCCAGATCATTTCCCCAAAATATAAAGTTGCTGATGCACAAGTATAGCACCGAATCTTCTGTTTTCCTTAGCAAGCACAGCAAGCACAATATTTTATTTTCAGGCCATGGGTGATCAGGTGTTTGGAATTCTTAGAAACATCATCCAAGCTGAGGAAGCTGCCTTATACGGAGTCAGACAAACAACCCATTTATCTTTATACAGTCTGCATTAACAAAATCTAGATTGTAACCTAAGGACATTACAAAATACTTATATACATGATACTAATGGAACTGCTGATATGTGTAGGCTTTCACTGTGTACTGACTGGACTAATTCTGGGTGCAGAATTAAATTCAGACTAATGAGAAATATATCTATAGGCTTGGAATGTAAGGAAAATTGTTTTTACTTGTTATCTTTCAAAAAAAAAGATACATGTTTTAGATAGATCTAGAATGAAGGAAAATAGAAATTGGTTTCTAAGGATTTTTTAAAAATGCTTTTGATTTCTGAAGAGATATCAGAATGAAAAGAACCTAAGGTATTTATTTTCACCCCTCTAAAATTTGAACATAATCTGAATTAAGAAATCTAAACTACAGCACAAAATTATATATATATGACGCTCTGTCCTGTTGTTTAATGCCCAATGAAACATTCTTAACCTTTCTAAAGCCAGCTAAGCAGTACACAAAATATTGTGTTTATACCAGAAACAGTTGGAGATGCAAGCTTTTTGCATGGGAAAGCCATTTTCAAAGTAGGAACTGTTTTCCCAGCTGTGAATATACTTTCCTGGGAAATTTGTTCAGCCCATTAGACAAATATTCAAAGGAATGCAAAATTATTCAGCCTCATTTATGAATATAAATATTTCGGACATTTTTTACATTTTCATGAATGTGCTGTCATAGTAGAAGACTGCAATGAAAAACAATGCAAAGCAGGCATTGAACAGTTTGCTGCCAATCTGTAATGAAAATTTAAAAATTCATTATTATTAATTTTTTTTGTCGTGTCAGGAGTGACTTGAGAAACCAAATCGCTTCTGGTGTGGGATAATTGGCCATCTGCAAGGACGTTGCCCAGGGGACGCCCGGATGATTTGATGTTTTATCATCCTTGTGGGAGGCTTCTCTCATGTCCCTGCATGAGGAGCTGGAGCTGATAGAGGGAGCTCATCCGCCCTTCCCAGATTCGAACCTGTGACCTGTCAGTCTTCAGTCCTGCCGGCACATGGGTTTAACCCACTGCACCACCATGAGGACTAATTTAAACATTGTCTTAAAGAAGAAAAAAGAAGAAAATAAAAGAAAAAAACAAAAACAAATTTACGCTTTGTCAGTAGCATCCTGTATCATGTTTACCTGGTCCCATTGTCTTGCAAGTACTTTGCAAAATCATTCATTTGTCTTTCATAAAATGGTGACACTTAATATAGGATACTTTGCAACAGCAATTTTTTCTATTAAAGGTAAGGATAGAACCAACAGCAGCTACTTCTGTTTTATTTTACATGTATTCATTCATTCTCCTCTACTGCTTGCTGGACTGAGCAGTGTGCTGGGCATCAGCATAACCCTAAGGTAGCTAGCTCACTAAACTGTTCCCTAACTGCAAACAATGAACATACTCGAAGATCATGGAAGAGTCAAGAGGTTCTGAAGATAGAAATGACTGTTGCTAGAGCTCAGAACTGAAAACAGAAGGGAACCTTGTGGGATTCTGCAGGGGAAATCTAATGATGTTGGCAAGCAATTACCTGTCAGTACGCGCTAAGATAATCCTACCAAAAGTGAGTAGTTTAATCAAGAGTATCAATCAAACAGAATAATTAAGTGATCAGTGGTATCAAGGTCTATAGGAAAGCATAATAGTATCAATAACTTTCCAATTTAACTGTTCCACGGCCAAGTCCACAATGTGCTTGTGCTTGGATGGAGCTCCTAGACTCCATTGTTAGGGACACAAGCAAGACATCAGAAATGAATCACTTTTTTCAAAAAGCTGCTGACATGCTAATGGTGCAAACTGAGGCACAAGTTTAAAAACTCCAGGTGTTTGGTAAATTAACATATACTAGTAATATAAAGAATGCAAGCTTTTTGTTCACAAAACTTTGCAATTCCTCAGACCAAATAAAGTACATAAATAGTGAGGCAGCAATCCTCTATGTGATTTGACAGCCAGCCCTGTCTTGCTGACAGTGATTTCATCAACATGAAAGCTCACAGACTACTATTACAACTCCAAAAGTGAGAGAACATTTAATCCACATCACCTTGCCTTTGTAGGACTTCTTGGTGCAGGAACACCAAGAAGGCATGTCAACACTTCAGAAAGGAAGAAAAAACAAACCAATCTTGTCTTATTGACATTACAAAAATAGGCAAAGAGCAACATTGTGCCTATGGATGTCAAAACATTAATAAGCAAGCAAGCATTCATAACAAATATGATACTTCTGAACAACAAGCTTCTGACAAACATCAATATTTGCTGTAATCTAACAGAACAACAGCAACAATATTACAACTGGCAACAACTGTAGCCCCTAAAATCTTAATGAAAACGATCACAGAACTTATATGACTTTTACGGTGTTTCTTTAATGAGAAATAACTGGAATTTTCCCAAGTCTGTTAAGTATGACTGATAGAAAGCTGAATAAAAGATTTTGTCCTTCCCACGAAGTTATAACCCAAGTGAATGTGACAGAATACTCAATGTTAATTTGCATTACTAAACTAGGTGCCCTCTTAAGTCAGAAATTCATACTGGTAAGAACTGCTTAAACCTGGTTAATATTAAGGGTTGTCAATATCTCCGTTGATGTAATGCTTAACTGCAATTGAGACAGGCATTGGAAAGCCAGAATTTGTGCTCAAGGAGTAGGGCCCTACAGTTCTTATCTCTTAAGCATTGTTAAGAAATCAGGGTCATTAAGTTTATATCAGCAGTTTATGGCTTGTAAGACTATTCATACCTTAGCATAGGACTTCAGTTGCTTATTCCCATTTTATGTAAAAGGAAGGAAATTAAAAGTTTTAAAAAAATAATATGACAATATTGTTTGGAAAGGTCAACATGCCTTAAAGGCAAATATACTCATTTTAAACTAGTACAATTTTTGTTGTAACGGATTTTACTGTAATGGTCATCACAATACTGAATGACATCCATATAAAACATTTTAACTTGCTTTCACAGTGCTTCACATCAAAATCAATTTGAAGCCTACATTTTAAAGTAATGAAATATAAATAAAAATAAAGGAATCTGAGGATTGAAGTTACAAAAAATACCATTCAAAGTAATCATTGGGTTCTGCTGGAAAATACTAGCAGTTCTCAAAACTGTGTGCTGCCACTTCATTTGATATGAACATATCGTAAACAATTTGCCAAAAGCTCAAACAAGCTGTTTGCCCTCTCTGTTCATCAAAGGCCATGACCTAATTCCTACAGTGCTGGGAAGTAGGGGACCCATGTGGAATTTCCTCTAATCTCAGCAGGAAAGTTGGGACTAGTCAATCAGGTCCTGCTAACCAGAGCCAAACTGCCAGACCAATGACAACATAAGAGAGATGCTTTGTATCTGACCTTCCAACTTCAGCTCAAAACTTCATCTTTAAAAAAGGACTGTAATATTATAACTTCTGTAATATGGAATGAGTTTCTGTTGTCAGAGGCTTTTGTGATGACAAAACCAGAATATACTGCAGAAAAGAACAGAATTTTTTTCTGTAGGCTCCCAGAAAGGACTTCAGAAAATGAAAGAAAAGGTGAAACTCAACATTCTGTGCTCCATTACTTGCTAATGAGAATTGTTCTAATTATTGTATTTATAACTAGCTAATAAAATCTATTAAGATCCATCCTGTGATTTCTAATATTATATTTTTATTAACACAGTTTTGGGAGAAATGCAAAGGTACACTTCATGGAAATTATTTACCATAAGACTGTTTCAGAACCATAGTAGTTATTTCCTGCTAACTGTAGAACTGTGTTATATGGAATGTGAAGACTGCTAGTTCAGAGAAACTTAGACTCCCAAGGATATGCTTATAGTTAAGATACAGAGCATCCTTTTGACTCATTGGATCTGCTGATCCAATTTTAACTTTAGCTATCTTCATTCAGTGCATCAGAGCAATGAAACAAGTTACTATTCCTACTGATGATAATATACAAAAGGGGATGTGTGCCACAGTAAAGAGTCTATTTTGCAAATTCTTATACATCTGAATTTTAAGTATTCTTTTGCATAGTTTTTGGATTTATGAAAACACATATGTCATTTCAGAAAAAACATACTTGCTCACTCACCTCCATTTTTTGTTTTTTCATCCTCGGTTCATGTGCCTCTTGATCCTCCTCTGACATGGCATGCTTGGATTTCTTCTTCACCTTTTCCTTTCCCGGCATGAGATGTTTCATTTTTTTCTTTTCCTTTTCAGTCTTGATCTCTGCAGTTTTTCTGTTACTGGGCATTGTTTTCAACAACTGGAAGAGATAAGCTTTGTTAAATAAACTATAATGTAATTTAGGTATACAGTCAAAAATTATTATTACTATTATTATTATTATTATTATTATTATTATTATTATTATTATTAACTACATTTCTATACCACTTTCCTCACCCCTGGGGGGAGAAACATAATAAATGGCAAATTAAATGCCTCACATATATATATATATAAATATATAAAAATATCACATATCTAAATCAATAACATATAACTAGATAAAAACCATTAAAGCTATAAAAACATCAAACATAGACACAAGCATGAAACATATTCTTGCTGCAATTAACAATGTAGGCCCTTCTCTTCTCCCCCCCCCCCCCGACTGATTTCGTTTCCTAATGTTTAGTTGTAAAATATAAGTATCTGTGCTCACAAATTTCCATGAATGGAACCCCAAAATGTTAAGACTTTCTTATATCAAAAGTTCTTAGTTTATTGTCTCAAATGTTGAGGATCATGAGGTATATGTCATGGAATCTCTGTGTTACTATGGGTCCATTGGCCATGCACTCAGTTCATATGCTTCTCAACACTGCTCAGGATCCGTTAAGTGATATAATACAGTCAAGTCTACAACTTAGTAATGCTGGGTAAGCCATTACTCCAGGCAATCTTGTCTGCCAACCAGTCTTCCCACTTTGATAACCACCACAACCACAAAGAAATAAACCCAATACTCTTTTACTCTGGCTCCATTTGTATGCTTGTCCTCTTAATTGCTAGAGAGCACATGATGTCCAAACATTTAAGCTATTAATTTGCAGACATCAACCTTCTCCATGTCCTGCATACTTACATAACAAAGCTAAGTATCTTGCTGTTATGTGCCTTTCAATCACTTCCAAGTCATGGAGACCCTAAGGCAAACCTGTCATGGGGTTTTCTTGGCAAGATTTGTTATGAAAATTCCCCTTCCTCTGAGACTGTGTGACTTGCGTACAATCACGCAGAAGGTTTTCATGGCCATGGAGAACACAAACCCTGGTCTCTAGAGTCACAGTTCCAACACTCAAACCACTACAGTATATCTTTCTACTTAATATAAAGGCTGTATTTAATTCAAGAAAAGACGTACAGGTTCCATCCACCTAAAGGCATGAAAAAGCTGGCCAGAATGGACCCACATTTGTAATGATCAACACACAAACATATCTATTTTTGCCCTAGCAGTAAAATCAAAACTTAACAAAGGCCTCATAATTAAATGTCTTGAGACACAGTGCTAGAGTCCTTGTTTTCAAGGTTCTTCTGCATTTTAGCACTGTGCTATGGTACTAAAATGAGAAAAGTTACCCTCCCCAAAAACCCTCTCTTCGATGATGTTATTAAAACCCCTTTCTGTAATGAGTATGACAAATCAAGTGAGTACAGTCCTGTGCTAGAGGGCTACTAAAAATCCTCCTGTAAAGATTTGGTGGATGGGATTTACTTTCATGCAACTGATTAATCGCTCCATTTGAAATCAGGAATTAATTGTTCTCCAAGTGAATTGGGCTAGCATGCTGGGGGATTAACTTTCCCTAAAATGTGGTACACAGAGCCATGTTCCAAATAAATAAATAAATAAATAAATAGCCAGAGGCATCCAGATTAGTTTGTTCTGCTTTGTTCCACAAGAACAGATGGTAGAGACTACCTTGCTGACAGCATACTAAGCTGGATAATGTGGACAGATGTATCTGTATTTGGGTTTGGGACAAGACATTTTCTTCTTGAATTCATTCCAAGCAAAAAAAACAGCACGTTTTGGAAAAGTACATAAATACAACCAGTATGCAAACCAGCGCCAATATTTTTAAATAAAAAATATTCCTTATATGTTGATGTGTGGGAAATAAATGAAATGAAATAAACGTTAAGCCAGTGCTTTCTGTTTTCTACTTTTGATGTGAAGGATACTGTGTAAACTTATTTCTTTTTGAAACAGTGCATTCCAACTTTCATTAGAAACATTACAATCTATTTCAAGAAAAGCTGTAGGAGAAGTATTTCCCCAGGACAAAGTGAAGAATAAAAAATTACCAGCTGTTTTTCTGAGTTCATTTTTGAAAATGGACATACAGTCAGAGATACAGATACAGAACAGAACAAGTGGAAAATATGCAATGTTAGTATAGCGAACACTTATCACTGCATTAATAGTTGACAAATTAGCTTAACAAAGCAAGGAAGAATGCATTCTCATCAATTACTTCTGTTGTGATTGGCCACTGGGTTGAGCTCATCTACATTTGGTTTCTTAATAAAAACATGTACTGCAATTCCACTTTGTGACTCTAGTTTTCATATACAGAGATTGTATCAATCTATCTAGCTATACTTTTTACATCTGTAGCTGCCAACAACTGACCTGGCTAAACCAAGATCTGACCCTCAAATGGTTCTGCTAGGGCAAGCATGTTTTCCACTGCTTTGTTGCAGCAGATTAACACAGTTGCCAGTCTTGTAGGCACTTTTTCAGTTCCTTCCCTGAGAAATACAGAAAGGTATCATTTTCTATTAAAAGTGTCTACATAGATTATATCTTTCAATGAAATAGCTTTGCAATCTATCAGACAACAAAAAAGACCTTAGTACCTCAAAACCTCACAGATCTATTGCAGTATCCATGTTTGTAAAACAGAATCTATGAAGTACTCGCAGCTACAGGTGGAATGTGTTTAAAAAGGAATCTGTTTTTGTACAAACACACTTCAGAATGGTTTTGTTGTTGGTAGAGCTTGAGCACAAAGTACTTTTGGTTGATGTCAGAAGTGGGAGAAATATACAAACTCCAATTTGAATTTTTTAAAAAAACAACACCTTGTAACAATAGGTTTTGGACTATATCTCTTCATTTAGAAGCCATGTCAAAGGAGGAGCAGCTTAGGGAGCTGGAGATATTTAGCTTGAAGAAAGGATGTCATATTGAGGAGGGGTTAAGCTTGTTTTCTGTTGCTCCAGAATCTGGAACATAAAGTAATGAGTTCAAACTACAGGAAAAAAGATTCCACCTAAACATTATGAAGAGCTTCCTGACAATGAGAGTGCTGCCTTGGGAGTCCGGTGAGGTCTTCTTCTCTGGAGGTTTCTAAGCAGAGGCTGTATGACCCTCTCTTGGTTGTGTTTTCCTGCCTGGCAGAACGGGGTTGGACTGGACAGCCCTAGGCATCTTTCCCATCTCTAGGAATATGATTCTCTTGAGCCCAGGGTATCATTCCCCACTCAAGCCATGGAAGTCTAGTGGGTGATCTTGGGAGAGTCACACTCCCAGCTCCAGGAAATCCCATGATAGGTTTGCCTTTGGGCTGCCGTAAGTCAGAAACAACAAAAGTATCATTTCATACGTATGTTTTGTACCTAAACAAATACACTACGCTTTATGAAGTTAAGTAGCCTTGTGATTCAATTGGTAATGAAATTCTCTGCTTTAACATTATACTGCAGTACATTTGTAGCTATTATACATTCGGCATGTATGAAGGAGTCGGAAAAAATACAGGCGTTAGAACTGAAGATTTGGCAGAGTTAACATGGAGATGTATCAAACTACAGCAATCTAATATGAATCCATTTTCAGCCATGATTCCCACTGGATGATCTTATTAACACTTTTACAAAAAATAGTTGTGCAAATCTATTGCTGTAGAAGCAAATTGGAGAAATCTCAAAAAATAATGGCTTATTCCTTTTCAAGAAAGCGTTTAATTAAGCTAAAAAAGTGGTAGTAGAAGCTCTGGGTTTTATCTTTGTTTTAATGTTCACATGGTTTTAATTATGTTTGCTCTTTAAATTATTTATGTTTCAATAGGTTGTTTTAACTTGATATTGTATGTTTTTATTCTGTTGTAACCTCTTTGGGACTGTGCTCAGAGAAAGGCAGGATATAAATTTCTCAAATAAATAAATAAATTTGAACTGCAGAGGTGAGCATCTATTGCCTTGTTGTAGGACACCAAATCTTATTAGCCTGCACAGCACAGCTAATGGGGAGGCATCATGAAAAAGGCAATACATAGGACAGCTGTCACATCTGATGAAGCCTTCTCCTCAATTGACATATTATGTTTATTATGTACCTTCAATTTATCTGATTTATGGTGAGCCCATTAATTTCATAGGGTTTTCTTAGGCAATGAATACTCCGGAGGTGGTTTTGCATGCTCCTTCTTCTGAAGTATAACCTAGAGTATGCCTAGAGTTTGTGAAAGTTACTTGTTTTGGTTGAGACTGCAGTTTCCAAAAAGAAATCTCCAGCCAGCATGATTTGAACGTTTACAGACTGCTCCTTCCCATGTTACTTTAAAATCTCAGTATCGAACTTTCATGTTATCAAAAGCATTTCGGTTTGACATTCATATATAATTTTGATTAAATGCACATGTCAGTTTTATATTATACAGTATCGTGATAGGCAATCCCTCATGGCCAAATATGATTGTCATGTAGAAGTAAAGCCTTGGCAGTAGATCTGAAAGTGACTGCAGAAACCTAGTCTTGATCCGCATGGTCTTTTGCAGTGAAGATATACATTTCCACATGGAAAGTGGTCCTGACAAGGGTTTGCTTCAGGTGTCTTCTTGCTCTTGGTGCATTTCTCCCTTTTGTCCTCTAGTTGTGCCTCTTCAAAATCCATGGCACTGTTGGTAACAGCTGACCTCCAGAGCCAGGGCTTCCCAATTCTCTCTTGGTACACACGTGCCTTTTATTTATTTATTTATTTATTTATTTCTGGTACTTCTACCCCGCCCTTCTCAACCCCCGGGGGGGGGGGGGAAGGGCTCAGGGTGGCTTACAAAAAGGCAGGATTCGATGCCTACACAAGATATACATACATACAAAACAGCAGTTAAAACAATTAGCAAATTAAAATAATCAGTACATAACACAATCAGTAAAACTAATCTCATGTTCAGCGTTCAGAGTTCCATAGTTCCATTACGTTTTGTCAATTCCTGTCCATCGTCAAGTCCTTTCTTTCGCTGCCAGAATGTCCAAATGCCTGGTCCCAAATCCAAGTTTTCAGTTTTTTCCTAAAGGAAAGGAGGGATGTCGCTGATCTAATTTCCCCGGGGAGTGAATTCCACAGGTGAGGGGCCACCACTGAGAAGGCCCTGCTCCTCGTCCCCACTAGCCTCACTTGTGATAGAGGCGGGGTCGAGAGCAGGGCCTCCCCAGAAGATCTTAGACTCCGAGGTGGGACATAGAGGGAGATCCGTTCGGACAGATACACTGGGCCGGAACCGTATAGGGTTTTGTAGGTCAAAATCAGCACTCTGAATTGTGCTTGGAATTGGATCGGCAGCCAGTGGAGCTGACACAACAGGGGGGTGGTATGCTCCCTGTATGACGCTCCGGTGAGCAGTCTGGCTGCCTCCCGCTGGACTAGTTGGAGTTTCCGAACAGTCTTCAAAGGCAACCCCACGTAGAGTGCGTTGCAGTAATCTAATCGGGATGTAACAAGAGCGTGGACCACCGTGGCCAAATCCGACTTCCCAGCAGCTGGCACACAAGTTTACCTTGAGATGCCAGATCTGGCCACAGTAGTTCATGCCTTAGTCACATCCTGTTTGGACTACTGCAATGCTCTCTACATGAGGCTGCCTTTGAAGACAGTTCAGAAGCTTCAACTGGTGCAGAGATCGGCAGCCAGGTTACTAATTAGAGCTCCATACAGGGAGAGATCCACTCTCATGTTGCGGCAGCTCCAGTGCCTGCCTGCCTTCTTCCCAAGAGATTTGCAGGAGTTTTTAAAGAGTCCACACGAACCCTGAGATCATCAGGAGAGACCCTTCTCTTGGTTCCACCACCGTCACAAGTGCAATTGGTGGGGACAAGAGAGCCTTTTAGGTGGTGGCCCCATGACTCTGGAATGCCCTTCCTAAAGAGGTGTGGTCGGCCCCTTCCGTGCTGGCCTTTTGCTCACAAATTAAAACCTTTTTATTGAACTAGGCTTTTCCTGAAGATCAATAATAGGCAATGACCAGACAGATACCGGTAATGTGTACTTTTGGAATGTTGAGGTGAACCAGCAATGCTTTTACATCACAACCATGCCTCATTATCACCATCCTCCAGGCTGGACCCAGGGCAGCCTTGGCATTGCCCGCCCCCCCCCCCCCTTCAGATCGGGCCCAGGAGGGCCTTGTCATCACCTTTACACCAGTGGTTCTCAACCTGGGGTCCCCAGATGTTTTTGGCCTTCAACTCCCAGCTGGTAAACTGGCTGGGATTTCTGGGAATTGTAGGCCAAAAACATCTGGGGACCCCAGGTTGAGAACCACTGCCTTACACCAAGCCACTGTGACTTATGTTGATTTATTCTTCATTTTGGCATTGAATGTTTGCCAATCTGTTATTTTTGTTGTAAACTGCCCTGAGTCCCTTTGCGTATTAATATTATTACATGGCCTAAAGGAGATGGAGTTTTTAGAACTCTAGATAACTGTTTTTAATGAACAATTTTAGTGGATGAGTCAGGGATTTTTTTTAAAAAATAGTATGTATTATTATTTTTATGCTTATGCAATTTTGTCGTTTTTAACTACTGTACGCCGCTTTAAATCCCACCCATAGGAGAAAAGTGGGGTAAAATAAATAAATAAATATTTCAGAAGTCCATGTAGACAGTCCATGTTTCGCAGGAGCACAATATTGCTGGTATTTGTGATGATAACTGCACAGTTTGTTTGACAATTCCATGCAATCTAGGGCACTGAATTAGATTGCAATTAGACAATAGTTGCACATCTTTTGGAGGGACACCGTTTTGTAGGTTTGGCTTGTAAAGCACCATGCACCTCAATGGCGCATACAAATATTGTGTAAAAAATTGTTGTCAGGGTATGTGTCTAAGGCAGGCATGAGCCAACTTTGGCCTGGCTGTTAGGCAGGAATGTCTTTGAAGAGTAAGGAGAAAGGGCTTTGTGTGTGTTGTGATTTTTTTTATATTTGTTGCTCTTTTATAGGTTAGTCCCCAAGGTAGTTTATTTTGGCATCTGTGACAAAATTCCAAATGTGCCTCTCTATGACAGCCAAACCCCAATAATAAAATCACTATCAAACTGGTTTCCTTTCTTTAAACCAAAAATCAGCTACCTTAGGCATCCACTTCACTTTTTTAATATATCTTTCTGTCTTGTTGCCATGTATTCCATAAATTAATTATGCACATTTTATCATGCTGGGGCAAGTGTGTGCATTTGATAGGACAAATGATAGACAATGAATCTTTGCTTGAGACGCTAGTTGCATTACACTGCCTATGGCCAACTTTTAAAAGTCAGGAGAAGGTGATACAGACTAGTGTTCTCTTTCTGCATTATGGCAGTAGAATATAGGTAGGGGAGTGTAGGTGGTCAACACAGAAGGAAAAAGGGGTGCATTGAAGAAATAAGAAACCGGATACATGGGTTGTTAGGGACTGGTAGATTTTCTGTTCCTTCCTTCACCTCTTTTGTATAATCCTGGAAAAGATGCAGCT